ACAAATGCATGAAATCGGTGATTTACAATGTGATTAGGTTGTCTGACAAAACATCCACTTGCACAGTTTAAGATCGATTGGGTCATTGGATGAAGAGATATTTACAAAAAACCGGGTCCACATGCATTTCATGCCAAACTATAGCTGGAATATTGCTGAGTGCACTCACTCACTCACAGGTCACCTATAGTAAGTGGACTATGAGTGATTGTACCTGCTTGACTCCAGGGGAGCTAGCATGCATCACGAGGATGACCTTATTCAGTCCTTTGGACCTGAAGCTGAGACAGACGCTGTACATCAGCTCGGCCACACGCGCTGGGTCATACTTCAGCTTCCCTGTTCCAAGGGCCGGGAAACTGAGACTGGTGAGTCCGGCGTCGTCGGCCGTCTTCAGGCACTTTTAATATAGTGCCCTCAGCAGCTGGAACATCATCATGATGTGAGACAGGCATTCTGTGTTTAACACCGGGTGCTTGATACTAATACCACACTTAATAAGCCAGGTCTTCAACACCATACATGATGTACAGTGTGCCAAATAGTTTCCAAATTTTGATAGCCAGTCAGGCTAGAAATGCCTGAAAGTTACTAGCCCATAATAATTCACTAGCCCGAAATTCAAATGTAGAAGCTAAGCAAAAGATTATGAGAATAAGATATTGTTGGCATGACACATGTTTCATTATTAAGCTGCTAATATGTTGAACATTTTTATCAGGCCATAATCTTGGCCTTAACATGTCGGAGAGAGTGATATATTTACAAAATGACCCCATGAAAATACACTAACTAGTCAGGCCAGTGACTAGAGATTTACTGGCAAAACTGGATCTTTACTGGCCACTGGCTAGCGGGCCATGTATCTAATGGTATAATACTAATCCGTAGCCAATCATTCCTTTGCTATTGGAATGATGTTTCAGCACTAACTGGGGCCTCCGAGTAAACCTTTAATGTATATTTGTTTTGTTGGTTGTTTAACGCAGCACTATATGGACGCTGTCGGTAACTTACTGAGTCTGGACCAGACAAACCAGTGATCAGCATCGATTTACCCCATTGGGATATTATGTGTCAACCAGGTCAGTGAGCCTGACCACCTGATCCTGTTAGTCGCCTCTTACGACAAGCATGGTTTGCTGAGGACTATTTTCAAATTTCTAATCTTCAAAGGTCTCAAACTTAAATGATCGAAACATTATTTAAATTCAAATATATTTTTAAGACAGGAATACTGCAGACATGCCAATCCTTCTGTAATAACAGCATACCTTTTCAGTCCCTGGCTGATCACTACTCCAACCATCTGTCAGCGTGATATGATACACCTGCTTGCAGGACAAATTACCGCCCCCTGTCACTGCTACTTCACCGGCCTTGACCCCTGAGGGATACTTTGTTTTACATTCATCCTGAAGGTCATCACCAGCTGCTTCCAGCATGACCTTGGACACTACCCCGTCTGCCAGATTCAGACCTGGGTTGGTTGTGTTGACGATCACATCAGTCTAAACACATAGAATCATCAACATTATTTTAGTTTTCAAAAATGTTAATACACATATATACATGTAATATTTAAATGTAATACCTCTCAGTGTACAAAAATGTCAAATTTAAGAACACAGAAAACCCAACTTTCACTGTTGGATGAAAATAACTAAATTCCTAGATATTAATAAAATCAAAAGTACTTGTGGTTAAATGTTTCAAATCATCTCCAGGTTTGGGATAACATCTGACCAATGGAGTGGAAGTTTGGAACAAACATAAGCTTGTAGTGAGTGAGTGAGTTTAGTTTTACTCCGCACTCAGCAATATTCCAGCTATATTGCAACAATCCAGGGGTCAACAGCATGAGCATAAATCTACACAAATTGGGATACGGTGACACGTGTCAACCAAGTCAGCAAGCCAGACTGCCTTTTATGACAAGCATGGGTTCCTGAAGATCAATTCTAACTCGGAACTTTACGGGTCCCGTCCCATGTAAACACGTCAGGAAAACATGTGCCAGCAAAGAACCTGCAGCTACCATAATGATAAAGTAACTTCCAGATGAAGGATATCCCTTCTGGTTTGGGGAAAACAATGCAAGTCTACTTTAAACCAAAACATCTAAGGCTTCAAACAGTAGATCAGAAATATACATGTACACCCTTTTACAAGTGAGTATGGTTTTACGCCGCTTTTAGCAATATTCCAGCAATATCACAGCAGGGGACACCACATATGCATTTCCACATTGTACTCATGTGGGGAATCGAACCAGGTCTTCCTCATGACAAGCGGTGTGATGAGTGAACCCTTTAACCTGTAGGCTAGCCCTACCCCCACCAGTGACCTCCCTTTAATGACAGTATAGAATTTGTACACATAAGGCACAACAAATAAACGTTCAATCCTAAATAAAGTCATACATGATATGATCTCCATGGGATATCCAAAGACTCAGCAGTTTCAAAAGTGAAATTTCATATATCACAATCACCGACAACTGACATGAAAAGATTGTAATCACTTGTCATAGACTGACGTAGAGGAGGTAGCTCACTGGTATATATATATTATATTACAGTACAACCAGAAATTATTGAGAATTTAAAGATTGTAATTTTTTATTATTTTTTCACTCATTATTTACGTATTAAATGTGAATATTAGCAGAACATAACTCCAGATTCAAAGACAGGTGAACAGTTAGTATTTTGTCAAGTCACCATGGGCAGCAATGCAGGCTTCAATGCGGCGGGGCATACTACTGATCAAAGAAGTTAGAAAGTCGTGGTCCATGCTGTCCCAATATCGGACCACCTCTTCTTTCATTTCAGCAATATTTGTCAGATTTTTCTTATTGACACTTTCCTTCATAAGTCCCCAAACATTTTCTATTGGATTTAGGTCAGGTCTATAGCTTGGCCAGTCTAATAATGTCATATTTGGGGTCCGAAACCAGGCCTGTGAATGCTTTGAACGATGTTTTGGGTCGTTGTCCTCCTGGAAAATCCAAAACTTTCCATAGAACACGTGAGCAGATGGAAGTAAATGTCCCTTGAGAATATCTGTGTACCGCTCACTATTCATATTCCCTTCAAATACACAGAGGGGCATTGCCCCTAACACAGATATGCCATTCCACACGTTAAATTTCAGACTGTACTTTGGGCGCTGATACAAAGGTTTTTCTGTTTGTTTGGTCCAGAATTTCAGTGTATTAGAAAACAGCCACACAGAACTTTCATCTGAGAAAATCACATTGTCCCAGTTAAAATTTCTATGCTGTAAGCACCAGTTCAACCTTTGCTCCTTTTTGTTCAGGTTTCATGATTGGTGATGGAATTCCTCGACTTTTCTGCCAACCCATTGCATGCAGCTCAGTTCTAATTGTCTCCTTACAGACAGCCACAGTTCCTCTATCAATCATATCCAGCTTTAAGTTTTCTAAAGTCCTTCGTTTGTTTTTAGAAACAAGAATACCAAGCTGCCTCCTGTCACCGACAGTCAATTTTCTGGGCCTACCTGCGCCTCCCTGGTGCTCAATGCCATATCCATTTGCAATATTTTTCAAAACACGATAAACAGTGGACAAAGGGATGCCTGTTCTACTTGAAATCACTTTAGCTGATCTGATGTCCTTGTTATAATACTCTAAAATCAACTTCCTCATCTCTAAATCATCCATACTGAGGTTCACTGAAAATGGCGTCTGCTAGCAAGTAAACAAAGGGGGATAACTCTTCACAAACTAATGAAAAAGGATTAACGGAGTTGTCTCTCTTGAATTAAACCAAGCACTTGATAGCTGGTCACGGTTGTTTATACTAGAAATCAAATTAAACATATTCCTAAAATTCTCAATAATTTCTGGTCATACTATATATCGGTAAATGGTCTCTGATTCAGTGAAACACTTCAATAGTATTGGAGAGAAAATAACATCTTACTGTTTGTTTTTCAATGTCCCCTGTTATTTGGGAAACCACCACCGCTGAAAAGAAGCAAGTCAACAATTACCAGGTGCACAGTTTACCGTAAAGATCATCTTCACTTATCCAGGGCATAATAATGGTGCCAGGCATCTTAATCATCATTCTATTATGTGATGTACCCTGAACCTATTTACCACCACAGCTTTATTTCTGATATAATGTGACTTTGTCCCTCTATATCACTATATCACACTCTGTAACCATCTATTTCAAAGTGATTCTCTCTCAGAACTTTTTAAATGTGTTTGACATGGATCAACATTCAAAATCACTCTCTCATCCAAGTCCTCTATATATTTAAAAGAATCAGAACACTGCTATAAAAAATTTGGTTTTAAAAGAAGTCTTATGCTATATGTATTTGAGGCACACAAACGTCAAGTGGAGTATTGGCAATATCACCTTTAATTCAGTCATGAGAGAACAGTTTGGTTCAGCCCATGTACCCAAATTAAACTACATTGTCCTTAAGAAATCCGTATTCTAACGGCCTGGCTTTGATGTGAACTGAGACTCACCAACATTGGATGCCTGAGGTTGTGGTTGCGGTTTAACTTGAGGCACTGGAACTTTGTTTAGAGAGCTGGCGATGGTAAGTTCCTGAGCAAAGTTGGTCTTCACAGTCTCAAATGCCTTCATTGTCAACAAAGGAATGAAATTTATGCATTTGTTTATCTATTTGTTTGTTTGTTTAACCATCCATCCATCAACCCATCCATCTATCCTTCCACCCATCATCCATCCATCCTTCAACCTACCCATCATCCATACATTCACCCATCTTTCCATCCATCCATTCACCCATCCTTCCATCCTTCCATCCATCCATTCACCCACCCTTCCATCCATCCATTCACCCATCCATCCATCCATCCATTCACCCACCCTTGCATCCATCCATTCACCCATCCTTCCATCCATCCATTCACCCACCCTTGCATCCATCCATTCACCCATCCTTCCATCCATCCATTCACCCACCCTTCCATCCATCCATTCACCCATCCTTCCATCCATCCATTCACCCACCCTTGCATCTATCCATCCTTCCATCCATCCATTCACCCATCCTTCCATCCATCCATTCACCCACCCTTCCATCCATCCATTCACCCATCCTTCCATCCATCCATTCACCCACCCTTCCATTCATCTATTCACCCATCCTTCCATCCATCCATTCACCCATCCTTCCACCATCCATCCATCCATCCATCCATTATGACAATCGTGGGTTGCTGAAGACAATTTCTAACACAGATATATCAACAGGTAGAATTAGAATTCATCTTCAGTAACCCATGCTTGCCATAGTCAGGCTCGCTGACTTGGGTGACACATGTCATCGTATCCCAACTGCGTAGATTGATCCTCATGCTGTTGATCACGAGATTGTCTTGTCCAGACTCGATTATTAACAGACCATCGCCATATAGCTGGAATATTGCTGAGTGCACTCACTCACACACTCATTCACTCACTCACAGGTCACCTATAGTAAGTGGACTATGAGTGATTGTACCTGCTTGACTCCAGGGGAGCTGGCATGCATCACGAGGATGACCTTATTCAGTCCTTTGGACCTGAAGCTGAGACAGACGCTGTACATCAGTTCGGCCACACGCGCTGGGTCATACTTCAGCTTCCCTGTTCCAAGGGCCGGGAAACTGAGACTGGTCAGTCCGGCGTCGTCGGCCGTCTTCAGGCACTTTAATATAGTGCCCCTCAGCAGCTGCAACATCATCATGATGTGAGACAGGCATTCTGTGTTTAACACCGGGTGCTTGATACTAATACCACACTTAATAAGCCAGGTCTTCAACACCATACATGATGTACAGTGTGCCAAATAGTTTCCAAATTTTGATAGCCAGTCAGGCTAGAAATGCCTGAAAGTTACTAGCCCATAATATTTCACTAGCCCGAAATTCAAATGTAAGCAAAAGATTATGAGATTATGAGAATAAGATATTGTTGGCATGACACAGGTTTCATTATTAAGCTGCTGATATGATGAACATTTTTATCAGGCCATAATCTTGGCCTTAACATGTCGGAGGGGTGATATATTTACAAAATGACCCCATGAAAATACACTAACTAGTCAGGCCAAGGACTGTAGAGATTTACTGGCAAAACTGGCGTTTTACTGGCCACTGGCTAGCGGGCCATGTATCTAATGGTATAATACTAATCCGTATCCAGTCATTCCTTTGCTATTGGAATGATGTTTCAGCACTAACTGGGGCCTCCGAGTCAACCTTTAATGTATATTTGTTTTGTTGGTTGTTTAACGCAGCACTATATGGACGCTGTCGGTAACTTACTGAGTCTGGACCAGACAAACCAGTGATCAGCATCGATTTCTCCCATTGGGATATTATGTGTCAACCAAGTCAGCGAGCCTGACCACCTAATCCTGTTAGTCGCCTCTTACGACAAGCATGGTTTGCTGAGGACTATTCTCAAATTTCTAATCTTCAAAGGTCTCCAACTTAAGTGATCGAAACATTATTTAAATTCAAATATATTTTTAAGACAGGAATACTGCAGACATGCCAATCCTTCTGTAATAACAGCATACCTTTTCAGTCCCTGGCTGATCACTACTCCAGCAATCTGTCAGTGTGATATGATACACCTGCTTGCAGGACAAATTACCGCCCCCTGTCACTGCTACTTCACCGGCCTTGACCCCTGAGGGATACTTTGTTTTACATTCATCCTGAAGGTCATCACCAGCTGCTTCCAGCATGACCTTGGACACTACCCCGTCTGCCAGATTCAGACCTGGGTTGGTTGTGTTGACGATCACATCAGTCTAAACACATAGAATCATCAACATTATTTTAGTTTTCAAAAAATGTTAATACAAATATATACTGAGTCAAAAAAGAATCTTCACAAAATGTAATTTGAAAAATAGTGAATAATTTTTCTCTGATGATACATCTATGTATCCGAAATGGGATCCCAATCTTTCGACTCTAGAACAACGTTAGCAAAACCCACTCAAACCCATCCATTCGTCGTGCAAATGCAGTCGATCACGTGATCTTCGCATCGAAGTTTTCTTCATATGCACGTGTTTGCATTGGCCTCAAGAATTGAAAAAACACTTTTAAACCACAGTTCTAACGGTACTTGAAATGCCACGATTGTCAAATGCGCAACGTGAACGTGCCGTTGGCATGTTGCAAGCGGGAAGATCAGTTATTGACGTCGCAAGAGCAATGGGATGCAGCCGTCGTACTGTGTATGACTTGCGAGGTCGTCTACAACAAACTGGCACCACTTCTGATCGCCCAAGGTCGGGTCGTCCACGTGTGACGTCACGAGCAGTGGACCGTCAAATCGTCCTACGTCACCTACGTGACAGATTTCTGCAGGCTACACGAACCAGGGCTGAGATGTTTAGAGGTCGACTGCCCTCACAGACCATTCGAAATCGGTTGCGGGCTGCCAATCTCCATTCTCGACGTCCATATCGTGGGCCAATATTGACGACGTTTCATCAACGTCAACGTCTGCTGTGGGCCCAACGTCACCTCCGATGGACCCAGAGTGACTGGACTCGAGTCGTCTTTAGCGATGAATCCAGGTTTACCCTCAGATTCGCGGACGGCAGGCATAGAGTCTGGAGACGACGTCGTGAACGGTATGCCCAATGTTGTGTACAGGAAGTCGACAGATTCGGGGGCGGAAGTTGCATGGTGTGGGGTGCTTTCTGTGGGAACAACCGTTCCCGACTTCTGGTCATTCGTGGAAACCTCACAGCTGCTGCTTACCGCGACCAGGTGCTCACCCCTGAACTCGTTCCTTTCATGGCGGCTCATGGCCCAGGTCTACAGTTCCAGCATGATAATGCTCGGCTGCATACCGCGATGTTGACACGGAATTTCCTTCAAAACGCTGGAATCAACGTCATGGACTGGCCATCGAGGTCCCCTGACCTTAATCCAATAGAGCACGTTTGGGATGCACTTGGGAGAAGGCTTCGTGGTCTTAGGAACCAACCTCAGAATTTGCAGGAACTTGGCGCTGCGTTGCAAGAGCAATGGCGCAGAATCCCCAACCACGTGTTCACAAGCATCAGGCAGTCGATGAGGAGACGGTGTTTGGCAGTGGTGAATGCGCGGGGCGGCCATACACGATATTGAACTGAAAAATTTCTTATTTTTATTCTTGTGACTTGACATTCTGTATACCCATGTTTTGGAATGGCGGTGTAGCCTAATGGAACTGATTATGGCACTGTCAGTGTATCGAGTACATCACACAGATCTCAGCAATGAAATAATAACAATTTAACCATCTTACCATCTCTTGTTCTTTTATAGTGCCCTGAAGAAAGAATGTGAAGTTTCTTTTTTGACTCAGTATATATACATGTAATATTTAAATTTATTACCTCTCAGTGTACAAAAATGTCAAATTTAAGAACACAGAAAACCCAACTTTCACTGTTGGATGAAAATAACTAAATTCCTGGATATTATTAAAATCAAAAGTACTTGTGGTTAAATGTCTCAAATCATCTCCAGGTTTGGGATAACATCTGACCAATGGAGTGGAAGTTTGGAACAAACATAAGCTTGTAGTGAGTGAGTGAGTTTAGTTTTACTCTGCACTCAGCAATATTCGAGCTACTAGTATATTGCAACAATCCAGGGGTCAACAGCATGAGCATAAATCTACACAAATTGGGATACGGTGACACGTGTCAACCAAGTCAGCAAGCCAGACTGCCTTTTATGACAAGCATGGGTTCCTGAAGATCAATTCTAACCCGGAACTTTACGGGTCCAGTCCCATGTAAACACGTCAGGAAAACATGTGCCAGCAAAGAACCTGCAGCTACCATAATGATAAAGTAACTTCCAGATGAAGGATATCCCTTCTGGTTTGGGGAAAACACAGGTATAATGCAAGTCTACTTTAAACCAAAACATCTAAGGCTTCAAACAGTAGATAAGAAATATACATGTACACCCTGTTACAAGTGAGTATGGTTTTACGCCGCTTTTAGCAATATTCCAGCAATATCACAGCAGGGGACACCACATATGCATTTCCACATTGTACTCATGTGGGGAATCGAACCAGGTCTTCCTCATGACAAGCGGTGTGATGAGTGAACCCTTTAACCTGTAGGCTAGCCCTACCCCCACCAGTGACCTCCCTTTAATGGCAGTATAGAATTTGTACACATAAGGCACAACAAATAAACGTTCAATCCTTAATAAAGTCATACATGATATGATCTCCATGGGATATCCAAAGACTCAGCAGTTTCAAAAGTGAAATTTCATATATCACAATCACCGACAACTGACATGAAAAGATTGTAATCACTTGTCATAGACTGACGTAGAGGAGGTAGCTCACTGGTATATATATATTATATTACAGTACAACCAGAAATTATTGAGAATTTAAAGATTGTAATTTTTATTATTTTTTCACTCATTATTTACGTATTAAACGTGAATATTAGCAGAACATAACTCCAGATTCAAAGACAGGTGAACAGTTAGTATTTTGTCAAGTCACCATGGGCAGCAATGCAGGCTTCAATGCGGCGGGGCATACTACTGATCAAAGAAGTTAGAAAGTCGTGGTCCATGCTGTCCCAATATCGGACCACCTCTTCTTTCATTTCAGCAATATTTGTCAGATGTTTCTTATTGACACTTTCCTTCATAAGTCCCCAAACATTTTCTATTGGATTTAGGTCAGGTCTATAGCTTGGCCAGTCTAATAATGTCATATTTGGGGTCCGAAACCAGGCCTGTGAATGCTTTGAACGATGTTTTGGGTCGTTGTCCTGCTGGAAAATCCAAACATTTCCATAGAACACGTGAGCAGATGGAAGTAAATGTCCCTTAAGAATATCTGTGTACCGCTCACTATTCATATTCCCTTCAAATACACAGAGGGGCATTGCCCCTAACACAGATATGCATCTCCACACGTTAAATTTCAGACTGTACTTTGGGCGCTGATACAAAGGTTTTTCTGTTTGTTTGGTCCAGAATTTCAGTGTATTAGAAAACAGCCACACAGAACTTTCATCTGAGAAAATCACATTGGCCCAGTTAAAATTTCTATGCTGTACGCACCAGTTCAACCTTTGCTCCTTTTTGTTCAGGTTTCATGATTGGTGATGGAATTCCTCGACTTTTCTGCCAACCCATTGCATGCAGCTCAGTTCTAATTGTCTCCTTACAGACAGCCACAGTTCCTCTATCAATCATATCCAGCTTTAAGTTTTCTAAACTCCTTCGTTTGTTTTTAGAAACAAGAATACCAAGCCGCCTCCCGTCACCGACAGTCAATTTTCTGGGCCTACCTGCGCCTCCCTGGTGCTCAATGCCATATCCATTTGCAATATTTTTCAAAACACGATAAACAGTGGACAAAGGGATGCCTGTTCTACTTGAAATCACTTTAGCTGATCTGATGTCCTTGTTATAATACTCAACTTCCTCTTCTCTAAATCATCCATACTGAGGATCACTGAAAATGGCGTCTGCTAGCAAGTAAACAAAGGGGGATAACTCTTCACAAACTAATGAAAAAGAATCCACGGAGTTGTCTCTCTTGAATGAAACCAAGCACTTGATAGCTGGTCAAGGTTGTTTATACTAGAAATCGAATTAAACATATTCCTAAAATTCTCAATAATTTCTGGTCATACTATATATCGGTAAATGGTCTCTGATTCAGTGAAACACTTCAATAGTATTGGAGAGAAAATAACATCTTACTGTTTGTTTTTCAATGTCCCCTGTTATTTGGGAAACCTCCACCGCTGAAAAGAAGCAAGTCAACAATTACCAGGTGTACAGTTTACCGTTAAGATCATCTTCACTTATCCAGGGCATAATAATGGTGCCCGGCATCTTAATCATCATTCTATCTATATGTGATGTACCCTGAACCTTTTTACCACCACAGCTTTATTTCTGAAATAATGTGACTTTTTCCCTCTCTCTTTTTCACTATATCACACTCTGTAACCATCTATTTCAAAGTGATTCTCTCTCAGAACTTTTTAAATGTATTTGACATGGATCAACATTCAAAATTACTCTCTCATCCAAGTCCTCTATATATTTAAAAGAATCAGAACACTGCTATAAAAATTTGGTTTGAAAAGAAGTCTTATGCTATATGTATTTGAGGCACAAACGTCAAGTGGAGTATTGGCAATATCACCTTTAATTCAGTCATGAGAGAACAGTTTGGTTCAGCCCATGTACCCAAATTAAACTACATTGTCCTTAAGAAATCCGTATTTCTAACAGCCTGGCTTTGATGTGAACTGAGACTCACCAACATTGGATGCCTGAGGTTGTGGTTGCGGTTTAACTTGAGACACTGGAACTTTGTCTAGAGAGCTGGCGATGGTAAGTTCCTGAGCAAAGTTGGTCTTCACAGTCTCAAATGCCTTCATTGTCAACAAAGGAATGAAATTTATGCATTTGTTTATCTATTTGTTTGTTTGTTTAACCATCCATCCATCAACCCATCCATCTATCCTTTCACCTATCATCCATCCATCCTTCAACCTACCCATCATCCATACATTCACCCATCCTTCCATCCATCCACCCATCCTTCCATCCATCCATTCACCCATCCTTCCATCAATCCATTCACCCATCCTTCCATCCATTCACCCACCCATCCATCCATCCATTCACCCATCCATCCATTTCCATCCATTCATCCATCCACCTCCATCCATCCATTCCATCCATCCATCCATTCACCCATCCATCCATTCACTTCCATCCTTCCATCCATCCATCCATTCCACTATGATCCATCCATCCATCCATCCATTCCATCCATCCATCCATCCATTCCATCCATCCATCCATCCATCCATTCCATTCCATCCATCCATTCCATCCATCCATCCATCCATCCATCCATCCATCCATCCATCCATTCCATCCATTCCATCCATCCATCCATTCCATCCATCCATCCATCCATCCATCCACCCATCCACCCATCCATCCATCCATCCATATCCATCCATCCACCCATCCATCCATCCATCCATCCATCCATCCATTCCTTCCATCCATCCATTCCATCCATCCATTCCATCCATGTCCATCCATCCATCCATCCATCCATCCATCCATCCATCCATCCATCCATCCATCCATCCATCCATCCATCCATCCATCCATTCCATCCATCCATTCCATCCATCCATCCTTCCATCCATCCATCCATCCATCCATCCATTCCATCCATCCTTCCATCCATCCATTCATCCATCCTTCCATCCATCCACCTCCATCCATCCATCCATCCATCCATTCCATCCATCCATCCATTCACCCATCCATCCATCCATCCATCCATCCATCATCCATCCATCCATTCCACCCATCCTTTCCATCCATCCATCCACCTTCATCCATCCATCCATCCATTCATCCATCCCATCCATCCACCCATCCTTCCATCCATCCATCCACCCATCCCATCCATCCATCCTTCATCCATCCTTCCATCCATCCATCCATCCATCCATTCCATTCCACTTCCATTCCATTCCATGGCCTACCCATCCATCCATCCATCCATCCATCCATCCATCATCCATCCATCCATCCATTCACCCATCCATCCATCCATCCATCCACCCATCCATCCATCCACCCATCCATCCATCCATTCCATTCACCCATCCATCCATCCATTCACCCACCCATCCATCCATCCATTCACCTATCTTTCCATCCATTACTATTCTTTTTCTATTCTATCTTATTCATTCATTCTCTTCTATCCATCCATTTTTATATCTATCTATATTCTTCTTATATTCTTAATCTATCTATTCTTACTCAATCCCATGTATCCATCTATTCACTCTACCTATCCAGTATCCAATCCATTAATCTATATCTTCTTTCAGTCCTATTCTTCAATCTTATCTATCTCCATTTTATATCTTCATATCTATCTTACTTGTGGTACTTCCTATCCTATTCATCTTAGTATTCTATCTCCATCTATTTTACCTATCTACCTAATCCATTTCCTATCGCATTCCATATTTATTTCTATCTTTCAACCTATCTAGTCCATTCCAATCCATCTATTTTACCATCCTATCTTATTCATCTATTTTAATCTATCCTTCATATTTCTATCTCTATCTATCATTCACCTATTAACGGTATCTTATTTCAATCTATCTATATCTATCTTACTCTAGTCATTTATATCTACTATTCTACCTATTCCATTCTATCAACTTCTATCATTCATTCCATTTGGTTCTTCTATCTTATCCATTTTGCTCTTAAATGGTTTTATTTGTCGGGTATTTGTCTACCAATTTTCTCTGGTTCGGTCTTACTTGGTCGGGTCAGTCTATTTGTCTGTTTCGAGTTCTTTCCATTTGGTTCATGCCTACTGTTCATTTGTTTTACTTGGCCCATGTTCATTCTTTTCAATGTAATGTATTCATCTATTTCATCTTATCTCTATCAATTCATAATCTTATTGGGTCTATTTCTACTCATCAATCTATCTTATTCACGCCTATTCTTTCCATTCCATCTATTCACCTATCCCATCCATCTATTCACTTCTATTTGTATCTATCTTATCTTATTCAGCCTATCTATCTTATTTCAATGGTCATCTAATCTATCTTATTCACCTGGTTTTATTCATCTTATTCAATCTGGTTAAATGTATCGTATCTATTCATTCACTTATTATCCATCCACTCTTACTCTATTAATCTATCTCTTCAACTTCTAACTATTATTCCATTCATCTATTCTTTCATCCATTCATATCTACTCTAATACCTTTCATTTTATTTTATCTATCTTATCTTGTCTACCTAATCCGGATCTTACCTATCCATCCCTCTATTTTCTATTCATCCTATCTAATTTTCTATCCATTCCATCATCATCTTACCTATCTATCATTCCATTCCATTCCACCTCAATCCATCTATCACCTATTTCACTCCATTCCTTCTTCCATTCACCTATTTCTATCAATGGTATCTATTCTTCTATTTCACCTATCTCTTTCTATCCAACCTATTTTTCTATTCACTTCTATTCTTCTATCCACTTCCAATCAATCTATCTTATTCACTCTACTCTATCAATTTATATCCATTCACCTATCTCTATCCATCTATTCACTACTTACTCATATTCCACTCTACTTATCTACCTATCCATCTCTCCTTTCACTTCTACCGTATCTATCTTATTCTTCTTTACAATTTTATCATTCATCTTATATTCACTACCTATTCCTTCATCCATTCATATCCATCTTCCTATCCTATCTTATTCACTCCTACCTATCAGTCTATCATCTATTCTACCTATCCATCTATTCTCAGTCTATCTCCTATCCATCTTATTTCACCATTTTATCTATTCACTTTTAATGTATCATCTATCTTATTCACCTATCTTCTATCCATCTTATATCATCTTATCTCCTATCCATCTATCTCATTCACCTACCTATCTATCCATCTTATTCTACCTATCCATTCATCCATCTATCTCTTCCTATCTATCTATTCTACCTATCTATCCATCTATCAATCCTACTTCTATCCATCCATCCACTTATCATCCATCTACCTACCTTATCAATCCATCTCTTTCAACTTACCTATCATTCTATCCATCTTATCTCTTCATCCATCCACTTACCTAAGTAACCTATTATTTATTCATATTCATTCATCCATCCATCTGTCCTACCTAAACCTTCCTATCCATCCACCTGACTATCCTCCTATTCATTCATTCACCTACCTATCTCATCCATCCATTCACCCATCCTTCCATCCATCCATTCCTACCTATCAATCCATCCATTCACCTATCCTTTCCATTAACTCTATCCTTTTCCATTCACCTATCCATCCATCTCTTCCATTCATTCATCCATCTCTTCCATCCATATCCATCCCTTCCATTCACCTGTCTGTCCTTCCATCCACCTATCAATCTTATCCATTCACACCACCTATCAATCTTACCTATTCCACCTATCCTTCCATCCATCTATTCACCTACCTATCCATCCATCCACTTACCTATCCATCCATCCATTCACTCTACCTATCCATCCATTCACTCTACCTATCATCCATCTATTCACCTATCCTTTCCATCCATATCCATCCATCCTCCCATCCATCCATTCACCCACCCATCCATCCATCCATTCACCCATCCATCCATTCACCTATCCATCCATCCATTCACCTACCCATCATCCATCCATTCACCCATCCTTCCATCCATCCATCCATCCTCCCATCCATCCATTCACCCACCCATCCATCCATCATCCATTCACCTATCCATCCATTCACCTATCCTCCCATCCATTACTCACCCATCTATCCATCCATCAACTCTACCCATCCATCCATCCACTCTATCATCCATCCACCCACCTATCAATCCATCCTTCAACTTCCACCTATCATCCATCCATCTATCCTTCCATCCATCCACTCACCCACCCATTCATTCATTCATCCATCCATCTGTCCACCCACCCTCCCATCCATCCATCCACCCACCCACCCATCCATCCATCCATCTACTCACTCTCACCCACCCATCCAAACATCCGATACTTGGATAGGGTCTGACAAAGAAGACCACCACAGGACAAAATGACAGAATGGCTGCACTGTTTCCACCACCACTTCCTCATGCCATAGTGTGTACACACCACATGAAACACAGTTACACCCAAGGCACTTCATTGCCATTCAACACACCAGCTTCTACTTCCAGAGTAGCGCTGACTCACCTGTATCACTGTATCATTGGAGGGGTGAATGACAACTCGGACTAGGGTCAGGCTAATATTTGACGTGTTATTGACAAAGTAAAGAATTGTCTCAAAGAATGCCTTGGCGACAGTCTGTGGGGGTACTTCAGCACACCTGTTCCAACAGCAGGGAAAGCTATACTGGCATAGTTACACCTATCTGCTTTCTGTGAGACACATCTCAATGAGATTCCGCAGCACCTGCAGAGAAATAATTTATCAAAATTGTAACTCATTCTGACTTGTTCAGCATTCATCTAACACCTGCTTTTTAACTCAAACAATATTCATCACAATTTATACAACATCAAGTTTAACATCATCCTAGATTCTTCAGCACTTATCCAACATTTCCTTCAACAGTATCATCCAGCAGTTATCCCTAATCAGTTTGAACATCTACCAAAACTCTCCTGTGTCAATATTTTATCCAACATTTGTTTCAACAGTATCATCCAGCAGTTATCCCCAATCAGTTTAAACATCTACCAAAACTCTCCTGTGTCAATATTTCCTAGCACTTATCCTCCACTACCCTCAACAACAATCCAATTCTTCAACACTTATCCCTACTTGCTTAAGTCAATACCAATACCTCAGGTTATGAATCTTCACTGGGGCGTAAATTGAGTTCTTAGTTTCTCTCAGAGTGATATATTTTTGGAGATAAAGCATTAGTGTACTGGTTCATATCCCCATGCCCAAGCATTACCTGCTCAGCATCAGCACCCCAATTAGGCAGACAGGTGTGGTAGATCTGCTTGCAGGTGAGACTGCCCCCATCCGTCTCACAGAGCTCCCCGAAGCCAATTCCCTGGGGGCAGTTATGCTGACACTGCTGCTGGATGTCTTGCCCCGCCCTGCTGAGGATCGCTTTCGACACTGGCCCTGATGACAGGTTAAGGTCCTTTGTTGTAGTGTTTACCAGGACATCGACCTGTAGAGAACACACATTAGGAAATGCTAAAACTTGCAGGCATTCTTACTACACATTTCTCACCTTTAATGGTACATGAAACTGTGTGTTAAGGGTTGATATAATCCCCTGAACCCCCTGACCACACCCCTTGGATCCCTCAATGTTAAGAGAAGATGTATCTGTGTCTTACAGTTAATTGTAAATGTGTGCTAAGGATGGGTGTGTCTGTAGATGCAAGTAGGTCTAACAAGTAGATTCAACTGTGTCCAAAGGAAAGATGTTTATAGGTCTTAAGGGAAAATACAACCGTGCTATAAGGAAAGATGCAAGTACAGTACAACCAGAAATTATTGAGAATTTAAAGATTGTAATATTTTATATTTTTTTCACCCATTACTCACATATTAAATGTGAATATTAGCAGAACATAACTCCAGATTCAAAGACAGGTGAACAGTTAGTATTTTGTCAAGTCACCATGGGCAGCAATGCAGGCTTCAATGCGGCGGGGCATTCTACTGATCAAAGAAGTTAAAAAGTCGTGGTCCATGCTGTCCCAATATCGGACCACCTCTTCTTTCATTTCAGCAATATTTGTCAGATTTTTCTTATTGACACTTTCCTTCATAAGTCCCAAACATTTTCTATTGGATTTAGGTCAGGGCTATAGCTTGGCCAATCTAATAATGTCATATTTTGTGTCTGAAACCAGACCTGTGAATGCTTTGAACGATGTTTTGGGTCGTTGTCCTGCTGGAAAATCCAAACATTTCCATAGAACACGTGAGCAGATGGAAGTAAATGTCCCTTGAGAATATCTGCGACCGCTCACTATTCATATTCCCTTCAAATGCACAGAGGGGCATTGCCCCTAACACAGATATGCCACTCCACACGTTAAATTTCAGACTGTACTTTGGGCGCTGATACAAAGATTTTTCTGTTTGTTTGGTCCAGAATTTCAGTGTATTAGGAAACAGCCACACAGAACTTTCATCTCAGAAAATCACATTGTCCCAGTTAAAATTTCTATGCTGTAAGCACCAGTTCAACCTTTGCTCCTTTTTGTTCAGGTTTCATGATCGGTGATGGAATTCCTCGACTTTTCTGCCAGCCCATTGCATGCAGCTCAGTTCTAATTGTCTCCTTACAGACAGCCACAGTTCCTCTATCAATCATATCCAGCTTTAAGTTTTCTAAACTCCTTCGTTTGTTTTTAGAAACAAGAATACCAAGCCGCCTCCCGTCACCGAGAGTCAATTTTCTGGGCCTACCTGCGCCTCCCTGGTGCTCAATGCCATATCCATTTGCAATATTTTTCAAAACACTATAAACAGTGGACAAAGGGATGCCTGTTCTACTTGAAATCACTTTAGCTGATCTGATGTCCTTGTCATAATACTCTAAAATCAACTTCCTCTTCTCTAAATCATCCATACTGAGCATCTCTGAAAATGTTGTCTGCTAGCAAGGGGATAACTCTTCACAAACTAATGAAAAAGGATTAACGGAGATGTCTCTCTTGAATAGAACCAAGCACTTGATAGCTGGTCAAGGTGATTTATACTAGAAATCGAATTAAACATATTCCTAAAATTCTCAATAATTTCTGGTCATCCTATAGGTCTTAAGGGAAAATACAACTGTGCTATAAGAGAAGATGTAAGTAGGTCTTAAGGGAAATACAACTGTTCTATAAAGGAAGATGCAAGTAGGTCTTAAGGGAAATAGAACTGTGCTATAAGGGAAGATGCAAGTTGGTCTTTAGGGAAATACAACTGTGCTATAAGGGAAGATGCAAGTAGGTCTTAAGGGAAATACAACTGTGCTATAAGGGAAGATGTAAGTAGGTCTTAAGGGAAATACAACTGTGCTATAAGGGAAGATGCAAGTAGGTCTTAAGGGAAATACAACTGTGCTATAAAGGAAGGATGCAAGTAGGTCTTTAGGGAAATACAACTGTGCTATAAGGGAAGATGCAAGTAGGTCTTAAGGGAAATACACCTGTGCTATAAGGGAAGATGTAAGTAGGTCTTAAGGGAAATACAACTGTGCTATAAGGAGACACGAGTAGGTCTTAAGGGAAATAGAACTGTGCTTTAAGGGAAGATGAAAGTAGGTTTTTAGGGAAATACAACTGTGTTATAAGGGAAGATGCAAGTAGGTCTTAAGGGAAATACAACTGTGCTATAAGGAAGATGTAAGTAGGTCTTAAGGGTACAACTATAAGGGATGGAAATACAAGTGGGTCTAAAGGAATAATGCCAGAATAAGGGAAGATATGGGAAGTGCAAGGAGGGAAATACAACTGTGCTATAAGGAAGATGCAAGTAGGTCTTAAGGGAAATACAACTGTGCTATAAGGGAAGATGTAAGTAAGGTCTTAAGGGAAATACAACTGTGCTATAAAGGGAAGATGCAAGTAGGTCTTAAGGGAAATACAACTGTGCTATAAGGGAAGATGCAAGTCTTTAGGGAAATAGAACTGTCTTAAGGGAAATACAACTGTGCTATAAGGGAAGATGCAAGCAAGTCTTTCAAGGGAAATACAACTGTGCTATAAAGGAAGATGTAAGTAGGTCTTAAAGGAAATACAACTGTGCTATAAGGGAAGATGTAAGTAGGTCTTAAGGGAAATACAACTGTGCTATAAGGGAAGATGCAAGTAGGTCTTAGGGAAATACAACTGTGCTATAAGGAGAAGATGCAAGTAGGTCTTAAGGGAAATACAACTGTGCTATAAGGGAAGATGCAAGTAGGTCTTTAAGGGAAATACAACTGTGCTATAAAGGAAGATGCAAGTAGGTCTTAAGGGAAATACAACTGTGCTATAAAAGGGAAGATGCAAGTAGGTCTTTAAGGAAATACAACTGTGCTATAAGGGAAGATGGGCAAGTCCATAAGGGAAATAATAACCTGTGCTATAAGGGAAGATGTACAAGGTAGGTGCTTAAGGGACAATAGGAACTAACTGTGCTATAAGGGAAGATGCAGAAGTAGGTCTTAAGGGAAATACAACTGTGCTATATGGTCTTAAAGATGCAAGTAAGGTCTTAAGGGAAATACAACTGTAGCTATAAGGGAAGATGTAAGTAGGTCTTAAGGGAAACACAACTGTGCTATAAAAGGGAAGATGCAAGTAGGTCTTAAGGGAAATACAACTGTGCTATAAGGGGAAGATGCAAGTAGGTCTTTAGGGAAATACAACTGTGCTATAAGGAAGAAGCAATAGGTGGATGGTACTAACTGTCTATAAGGGAAATAGTAACTGTGCTATAAAGGAAAGATGCAAGTAGGTCTTAAAGGGAAATACAACTGTGCTATAAGGGAGGATGTACGTAGGTCTTTAGGGAAATACAACTGTGCCATAAGGGAAGATGCAAGTAGGTTTTAAGGGAAATACAACTGTGCTATAAGGGAAGATGTAAGTAAGTCTTAAGGGAAATAGAACTGTGCTATAAGGAAAGACACAAGTGGGTCTTAAGGGAAATACTACTGTGCTATAAGGGAAGATGTACGTAGGTCTTAAGGGAAAACACAACTGTGCTATAAGGGAAGATGCAAGTAGGTCTAAAGTGAAATACAACTGTGCTATAAGGGAAGATGTAAGTAGGTCTTAAGGGAAATACAACTGTGCTATAAGGGAAGATGCAAGTAGGTTTTATGGGAAATACAACTGTGCTATAAAGGAAGATGCAAGTAGGGAAGATGGAAATAGAACTGTGCTTAAAAGGGAAGATGCAACAGGTCTTAAGGGAAATACAACTGTGCTATAAGGAAGATGCAAGTAGGTCTTTAAGGGAAATACAACTGTGCTATAAGGAAGATGCAAGTAGGTCTTTAAGGGAAATACAACTGTGCTATAAGGGAAGATGTAAGTAGGTCTTAAGGGAAATACAACTGTGCTATAAGGAAGATGCTGTGTTATAAGGAAGATGCAAAGAAGTGGGTCTTAAAGGGAAATACAACTGTGCTATAAGGGAAGATGCAAGTAGGGTCTTAAGGGAAATACAACTGTGCTATAAGGGAAGATGTAACAAGTAGGTCTTAAGGGAAATACAACTGTGTCTATAAGGGAAGATACAAGTAAGTAAGTCTTTAAGGGAAATACAACTGTGCTATAAGGGAAGATGTAAGTAGGTCTTAAGGGAAATACAACTGTGCTAACCAGCATAAGGGAAGATGCAAGTAGGTCTTAAGGGAAATACAACTGTGCTATAAGGGAAGATGTAAGATAGGTCTTTAAGGAAATACAACTGTGCTATAAGGGAAGATGCAAGTAGGTCTTTAAGTTGGGGAAATACAACTGTGCTATAAGGGAAGATGCAAGTAGGTCTTAAGGGAAATACAACTGTGCTTATAAGGGAAGATGTAAGTAGGTCTTAAGGGGAAATACAACTGTGCTATAAGGGAAGATGTAAGTAGGTCTTAAGGGAAATACAACTGTGCTATAAGGGGAAAGACAAGTACGTAGGTCTTAAGGGGAAATACAACTGTGCTATAAGGAAGATGTAAGTAGGTCTTAAAATGGAAATACAACTGTGCTATAAGGAAAGATGCAAGTAGGTCTTAAGGGAAATACAACTGTGCTATAAGGAAAGATGCAAGTAGGTCTTTAAGGGAAATACAACTGTGCTATAAGGAAAGATGCAAGTAGGTCTTAAGGGAAATACAACTGTGCTATAAAGGGAAGATGCAAGTAGGTCTTAAGGGAAATACAACTGTGCTATAAGGGAAGATGCAAGTAGGTCTTAAGGGAAATACAACTGTGCTATAAGGGGATGGGAAGATGCAAGTAGGTCTTAAGGGAAATACAACTGTGCTATAAGGAAGATGTAAGTAGGGGAAATACAACTGTGCTATAAGGGAAGATGTAAGTAGGTCTTAAGGGAAATACAACTGTGCTATAAGGAAAGATGTAAGTAGGTCTTTAAGGGAAATACAACTGTGCTATAAGGGAAGATGCAAGTAGGTCTTAAGGGAAATACAACTGTGCTATAAGGAAAGAGGAGGGAATACAAGTAGGTCTTAAGGGGAAATATAAGGGAACTGCAATGTACTATAAGGGGTGCTATAAGAAGATGAAAGTAGGTCTTAAAAGGGAAATACAACTGTGCTATAAGGGAAGATGCAGAAATGCAGGTCTTAAGGGGAAATAAGGAGGAACTGTTGCTATAAGGGAAGATGCAAGTAGGTCTTAAGGGAAATACAACTGTGCTATAAGGGAGGTCTTAGGGGAAAATACAACTGTGTATAAGGAAAGTCTTAAAGGGAAATACAACTGTGCTATAAGGGAAGATGAGTAGAGTAGGTCTTGGAAATGGGAAATACAACTGTGCTATAAAAGGAAGATGTAAGTAGGTCTTTAAGGGAAATACAACTGTGCTATAAGGAGAGAAGCAGAAGTAGGTCTTTAAGGGAAATACAACTGTGCTATAAGGGAAGATGTAAGTAGGTCTTAAGGGAAATACAACTGTGCTATATGGCGAAGAGCAGTAAGTAGGTCTTAAGGGAAATACAACTGTGCTATAAGGGAAGATGCAAGTAGGTCTTAAGGGAAATACAACTGTGCTATAAGGGAAGATGTACGTAGGTCTTAAGGGAAATACAACTGTGCTATAGGGAAGATGTAAGTAGGTCTTAAGGGAAATATATAACTGGCTATAAGGGAAGGGCAATACAACTGTGCTATAAGGAGAGAAGATGTACTGTGCTATAAGGGAAGATGCAAGTAGGTCTTAAGGGAAATACAACTGTGCTATAAGGGAAAGATGCAAGTAGTAGTCTTAAGGGAAATACAACTGTGCTATAAAGGGAAAAGATGTAAGTAGGTCTTTAAGGAAATACAAAGCTATAAAGGGAAAAATAAGTGGTCTTAAGGGAAATACAACTGTGCTATAAGGGAAGATGCAAAGTAAGTCTTAAGGGAAATAACTGTGCTATAAGGGAAAATGTAAGTAGGTCTTAAGGGAAATACAACTGTGCTATAAGGAAAGACACAAGTAGGTCTTAAGGAAATACAACTGTGCTATAAGGGAAGATGCAAGTAGGTCTTAAGGGAAATACAACTGTGCTATAAAGGAAGATGCAAGTAGGTCTTAAGGGAAATACAACTGTGCTATAAGGGAAGATGCAAGTAGGTCTTAAGGGAAATACAACTGTGCTATAAGGGAAGATGCAAGTAGGTCTTAAGGGAAATACAACTGTGCTATAAGGAGACACGAGTAGGTCTTAAGGGAAATGGAACTGTGCTTTAAGGGAAGATGCAAGTAGGTCTTTAGGGAAAAACAACTGTGCTATAAGCGAAGATGTAAGTAGGTCTTAAGGGAAATACAACTGTGCAATAAGGGAAGATGCAAGTAAGTTTTAAGGGAAATACAACTGTATTATAAGGGAAGGAAGAGGTCAAGGGAAATACAACTGTTCTTTAAAGGAAGATGCAAGTAGGTCTTAAGGGATATACAACTGTGCTATAAGGGAGAGATGGTAGGAAAAGGAAATACAACTGTGCTATAAGGGAAGATGCAAGTAGGTTTTAAGGGAAATACAACTGTGCTATAAGGGAAGATGTACGTAGGTCTTAAGGGAAATACAACTGTGCTATAAGGAAAGATGCAAGTAGGTCTTTAAGGAAATACAACTGTGCTATAAAGGAAAGATGCAAGTAAGTCTTAAAGGAAATACAACTGTGCTATAAGGGAAGATGTACGTAGGTCGTAAGGGAAATACAACTGTGCTATAAGGGAAGATGCAAGTAGGTCTTAAGGGAAATACAACTGTTCTATAAGCAAAAATGTAAGTAGGTCTTAAGGGAAATACAACTGTGCTATAAGGAAAGACACAAGTAGGTCTTAAGAGAAATACAACTGTGCTATAAGGAAAGGCACAAGTAGGTCTTAAGGAAAATACAACTGTCCTATAGGGGAATATGTACGTAGGTCTTAAGGGAAATAGAACTGTGCTATAAGGTAAGATGTAAGTAGGTCTTAATGGAAATACAACTGTGCTATAAGGAAAGATGCAAGTAGGTCTTAAGGAAAATACAACTGTGCTATAAGGGAAGATGTAAGTAGGTCTTAAGGGAAATACAACTGTGCTATAAGGGAAGATGTAAGTAGGTCTTAAGGGAAATACAACTGTGCTATAAAGGAAGATGTAAGTAAGTGTTAAGGGAAATACAACTGTGCTATAAGGGTAGATGTAAGTAGGTCTTAAGGGAAATATAACTGTGCTATAAGGGAAGATGTAAGTAAGTTTTAAGGGAAATACAACTGTGCTATAAGGGAAGATGCAAGTAAGTTTTAAGGGAAATACAACTGTGCTATAAAGGAAGATGTACGTAGGTCTTAAGGAAAATACAACTGTGCTATAAGGGAAGATGCAAGTAGGTCTTAAGGGAAATACAACTGTGCTATAAGGGATGATGCAAGTAGGTCTTAAGGGAAATACAACTGTGCTATAAAGGAAAGATGCAAGTAGGTCTTAAGGGAAGATACTAGTGAGTGGGTGGGTGGGTGTGTAGGTGGGTGAGTGATGTGAGTGAGTGATGTTAAATTGTGTGTACATGTGGAGAATGATACACTTACCTGCTGGTCAGCTATGCTACCTGTCACAAGCTCCACCTTCATGGCTGCCCAATTACCTGGTCACTTCAACTGAAATATATGGGACAGCCACCTCAATGCTTCTCCTACACAGTACCACATCCATCAAACTGGACAATTTAATTGTAAACTGATAGTGCATTGAAGGAGGTATAGGACTCAGTTATAGGGAGCGTTGGTTCAGGCTGGTAGGTGGGAGGGGTCATTATTGAGGAAGGCGGTGGGGGTAGTAGAAAGAGAGAGCAAATGTGGGACATATTTCTTGGGGTGGGCTGGATGGCTTCGACAGGAGCAAGAGGTGTTTCAGCAGGACAGGGATACCTTTTCTTGGGATGGAGCTGGTTGGCTGTGGGTGGGGGAAGAATTATCTGGGAGGGATGAGGAAGTCTTTTTTGTGTGCTAATGTTTGTATACTAAATACTGATATTCACTCCAGCTGCCATCTTATCTTACTTCCCACACCCTGCTGTACCTAAGACTGCAGAGCCGGTGACAAATCATTACTTTCTTTGTTAAATACAAATAAATATATTTAACTTAATATTTAACTTAAAGTTTTAATTTATTTATATTTAATATGATATTTCATGTATTTTTGCGTGGGCATGTCACGCCGTTTCAGTCATGTTATCAAACATTTCACCAGACAAAAAAATGCAGATTTGGTCTCTTTCTTTTCGTTTTTTTATCGAATTGGGCACAGCCTACCACAGACTGAATGAAGATTGTGGGCGGCGTTAAAAAAATAGTTGTTGAAGTCATACATAACCCCACATTTGTGCTTACCTTACCACAGAAACAAATTATTTCATCAAACAGCCACTTCCGGGTATGTGTTGTCGCTGACTTGGTCGTGTTGTCATGTAATTAATCACATTACCTATAAAGATAAAGACACACGTGTTGGAGGTAATGACTTTCGTAACATCATTCAAGAAATATTTCAAAAGGAGAGTCTGCAGACACTCGCTACACAACAGAAAATTTATACGTACACGTCTTGCCATTTCCCACGGCGTAATGACGGTTTTGGGGCGGACATGTCACGTGAGCATGAACGGAATTCACTGTGTTGTTTGATAAGCCTGATAACAAAATATAAAGTAGGGCAGATCCTACTATATATTGCCTCTGCTGTTTTTATTGTTGTTTTATTTTATGTAATCATGTTCGTTGGAGATAACGGGCGTTGAGGTAGCCTAGTGGTTAAAGCGTCCGCTCGTCACGCCGAAGACCCGGGTTCGATTGCCCACATAGGTACAATGTGTGAAGCCCATTTCTGGTGTCCCCCGCCGTGATATTGCTGGAATATTGCTAAAAAGCGGCGTAAAACCATACTCACTCACTCGTTGTAGTTAATGTTAGTTGATATAAGAGGCACTGTCTTCTTAATTTATATGTGTCTATGGTTTGATTATTGTTTCCCTCCTCAATTGATTTTGGGTGATTTTGATCGTTGTATATAGTCTGGGTTTATACATGGTTGTCAGTTAAATTTGATTGATGATTTACTGTGTATTTTGTGTTGCTTTTTTAGAACACTTTTTTAATTCTTCCAGTCCAGTTATCCCTTACAAAAACAACAGACGACATCAAAGGTACAACGTCGTCCTGAGAATGAACCCCGAGAATACCCCAATCTAACTGATAAATATGGAGCTGATTATTTACGGCACTTGTAAGATTATGACATTATCACAGCAGGACACTCAACCTGCACTTCACACTTGGGATAAAACTCGGGCCTACAGCGTGACAAGCGAACACGTTCCCGTGTTGCTAGCGAGAGCCGCTTGACATATACGACACACTCAGCGTCATTGCCGCAACAGAAAGTCGGTCTGCAAATAATCGCGTAGGGACCAAAGAATCCGGCGACTGACATCAACCAAGTCAGCGAATCTAACCACCCGACCCATTTAGTCGCCTCTTACGACAGTCATGGGTTACTGAAGATCAGTTTTAACCCGGCTCTTCGTTGGTTTACGTCAACTTCAGAGAATAACCAGCCTCGATTATCAACAGATTCACCTTTTTCGGGAGTAAAAGGCAAAACAGTGAAGAAGATTATATGAACGAATCATTGAAAATCATTGACGAGACATTACACATCACATTTTTCGCTACGGAAGTGCTTCAGAGACCAGATAAAATAAAAGTTATAATAAGCGCACGAGTCAGTATGTTGAGCGCTCAAGTTACTATCTTCAGCGCACGAGTCAGTATGTTGAGCGCTCAAGTTAATATATTCAGCGCAGTCAGTATGTTAGAGTCAAGTTAGTATGTTGAGCGCTCAAGTTAATATCTTCAGCGCACGAGTCAGTATGTTGAGCGCTCAAGTTAATATCTTCAGCGCACGAGTCAGTATGTTGAGCGCTCAAGTTACTATCTTCAGCGCACGAGTCAGTATGTTGAGCGCTCAAGTTACTATCTTCAGCGCACGAGTCAGTATGTTGAGCGCTCAAGTTAATATCTTCAGCGCACGAGTCAGTATGTTGAGCGCTCGAAGTTAATATCTTCAGCGCACGAGTCAGTATGTTGTTGAGTTACCATCTTCAGCGAATTTGATCACCGAGTTAGTATCTTCAGCGCGCTCAGTAGTTAATATCTTCAGCACGAACGCAGTATGTTGAGCAGCAAGTTATCATCTTCAGCGCGCGCGAGTCAGTATGTTGAGCGCTCGTTAATATCTTCAGCGCACGAGTCAGTATGTTGAGCGCTCAAGTTAATATCTTCAGCGCACGAGTCAGTATGTTGAGAGCTCAAGTTAATATCTTCAGCGCACGAGTCAGTATGTTGAAGCTCAAGTTAATATCTTCAGCGCACGAGTCAGTATGTTGAGCGCTCAAGTTAATATCTTCAGCGCACGAGTCAGTATGTTGAGTATGCTGAACGTTAATATCTTCAGCGCACGAGTCAGTATGTTGAGAGCGTTCTATCTTCTTCGAGTCAGTATGTTGTTGGCTCGTTAAATCTTCAGCGCTGTTGAGTATGTTGCCAAGTTAATATCTTGCGAGTATGTTGAGCTCAAGTTACTATCTTCAGCGCGACGAGTCAGTATGTTGAGCGCTCAAGTTAATATCTTCAGCGCACGAGTCAGTATGTTGCCGCGAGTCAGCTCAAGTTAGTTACTATCTTCAGCGCACGAGTCAGTATGTTGAGCGCCCGCTAATATCTTCAGCGACACGAAGTCAGTATGTTGAGCTTCGCTAATATCTTCAGCGCACGAGTCAGTATGTTGAGAGCTCAAGTTAATATCTTCAGCGCACGAGTCAGTATGTTGAGAGCTCAAGTTATATCTATCTTCAGCGCGCACGAGTCAGTATGTTGAGCGCTCAAGTTAATATCTTCAGCCGCGAGTCCGCGAGCTCAAGTTAATATCTTCGAGTCAGCCAGTATGTTGAGCGCTCAATATCTTCAGCGACGAGTCAATATGTTGAGCGCTCAAGTTAATATCTTCAGCGCACGCGAGTCAGTATGTTGAGCGCTCATAGTTAATATCTTCATATCTTCCGTATACGAGTCAGTATGTTGAGCGCTCGAGTTAGTATGTTGAGCGCTCAAGTTAATATCTTCAGCGCACGAGTCAGTATGTTGAGCGCTCAAGTTACTATCTTCAGCGCACGAGTCAGTATGTTGAGCGCTCAAGTTAATATCTTCAGCGCACGAGTCAGTATGTTGAGCGCTCAAGTTACTATCTTCAGCGCACGAGTCAGTATGTTGAGCGCAGGCGAGTTAATATCTTCAGCGCACGAGTCGGTATGTTGAGCTCAAGTTACTATCTTCAGCGCACGAGAGTCAGTATGTTGAGCGCAAGCTAATATCTTCAGCGCACGAGTCAGTATGTTGAGCGCTCAAGTTACTATCTTCAGCGCACGAGTCAGTATGTTGAGCGCTCAAGTTAATATCTTCAGCGCACGAGTCAGTATGTTGAACGCTCAAGTTACTATCTTCATCGCACGAGTCAGTATGTTGAGCGCACAAGCTAATGCCTTGAGCGCTGAGGTTAGTTATCTTGAGCGCACAAGTTAATATCTTCAGCGCACAAGTTAGTCTGTTGAGCGCTCAACTTCGTGTTTAGCATCTAATGACATTAATGGAACGCACGTTTGCTTGACTGCTGGCTAAAATGTACAAACATATATATCCTTTTTGGAAGATATCAAACGATGCAAAGTCGGAGTTAACTATAGGTGTTTATGATGAGAGTGTAAAAGTATGCAAATTTATCATGAATATTGATGGTGTTTATGTAAACGTTCATCGTCTTTATGCTTGTCAATACTATTCTTTGTAACTGATTTGACCACTTTTTGCTTTATTACATAAAGAAGGCCCAGGTATGTGTAATGTCATATTAAGAATTATAATACATAAACATGAGTAGTGGTTTTACTGACTTCTAATGTTAGTACAAAGTATTATGAACACTAGCGTAAAGCTTGGATAACTTGTTTTGTGCTACGGCTTTCTTATGTATATATTGTATTACATGACGATGAGAAATGGAAACACTGAGTGTTAAAACTGATGTCTGATGTATTGGAAGTAAAGTCGACCGCTTTTATGGAACTATAGTCTGTAGTCTTTGCTTGCATGTATTGATCAGTAACTGTTTCCTACCTTGGGTACAATGGCAGTTAACTCTGTACAGTGTAATATAAAACCGGCCTTAGATATTTGATCCATTAGTGGACGTATAGCATATATACCGACTTTATTTCTTACTAAAATAGGGGCGGTGGGGTAGCCTAGTGGTTAAAGCGTTGGCTCGTCACGCGGAGGATCCGGGTTCGATTCCCCACATGGGCACAATGTGTTAAGCCCATTTCTGGTGTCCCCCGTCGTGATATTGCTGGAATAATGCTAAAAGCGGCGTAAAACTAAACTCAGTCAGTCAGTCTTACTAAAATACCATGTTCCTCGTTTAACTTCCTCCGTTTCAATCCCTTATGTATACGTATGTGTGTTGTAGTTTATTTAATATGTTTTAACAACACAGGAAGTTGAAGAATAAACACGTCGGTGAAGACAGTGTCCTGAGCGAAATTCAACACCATTCGGGTCCATCAACGACCGTACAGTATCCTGTTTCACGATTAAACCGCATTGGATACATTGTTGATGCATCAACGATAACCATGTCTTTGTCCAGATCGTCGAAGTCGTCCGCAATAAAGTCTGTAACATCAGCGGGGCGGTGGGGTAGCCTCGTGGTTAAAGCGTCCGCTCGTCACGCCTGGGTTCGATTCCCCACATGGGTACAATGTGTGCAGCCCATTTCTGTTGTTCCCCGCCGTGATGTTGCTGGAATATTGCTAAAAGCGGTGTAAACTGTACTCTATCACTGTAACATCAGCAAAACTGGTATCTGGTGCCAAAGAGGGACATACACCTCAGAATAGGCTTCAAGTGGCGTACTATACTATACAATGATTTTTGACAAGAGGATGTGTTATGTGTTTGTATGGAACCCAACACTGAAATACGCATGAATCAGCTCGCGTTTCCGCTCCTCCTTGCTTCCACATGAACTGCTTATGGAGTAGTGTATCTCAAGATACTAAGTTGAGCGCTCAACATACTAACGTGTGCGCTCAAGATATTAACTCGTGCGCTCAAGATAAATTTTATTTCATCAGGTCCTTACAGTGCTTCCGTAGTAAAGTATAGTTATGTGTTTCATAGCAATATGTGTTTCATAGTAAAATAGCATTGCCCTTGGACGTTTGTTAAAATATATGCAAAGAAAATATCCGCTTTCAGCGCTCCAAAACTCTTAAGATATCAAAATCAAGATTAGTATGCTTTCTACAGCTGCAATGGACTGGAAATGACTTATCTCACAATGTTCTAAATCTTCCATATCACGATTTAAAGTATTTCTATTAAGTTTTGGGGTCATCTCATCTTTGCTTTGGCAGATATCGCCATATTGTTGACATTAGATCTCAGTTGCTTCAGGGGCTATTATTGATGAAAGTATCAGCGAAATCACACCAGGCGTTATGGTCGATAATGATAATAACATACTAATGGATCAAATAAATCAGGCCGGTTTTATATGATATTGTACAGAGTTTGTTTGTTTGAACATATTTTATTCAGTGTTGAAATGGATTGGGCACAAGTTATGTAGCTTATTACCGCCCGCTCCCATCAGAAACATGAACAATAATTCCATTTAGCATTATTTGGCTAAATGTCGTTATTGTACGCTCCATGCATTTCCTGAATTCCTACAATTATTCTCATTCTACTGACAATTACATATAATTTCTTTACAGCAAACACAATAAATTCCTCTTAACAAAACACGTGCTCATGTTTACAAACACCCAAAGATGTGCATTTCATCACATCCGCTTACATTACGTCATCACACAATTGGAGACGTCATCATAATATTTATATTACGTCACTTTCTTTCATTCCGCCGCCATTTTAGATAACCGTCATTTTATCAACCACTTGTTAGCAATTTCATTTTATCATCTTTTTCTCAGTTTCTTTTTCTCAGTGTAGTGTGGTGTAGTGCAGTACAGTGTTGTGTAGTGTAGTGTAGTTTAGTCTAGTGTAGTGTAATTACACTGTAATCACAGTGTAAGCAGCATTTGTGCAACGATGCCTCCTAAACGTAAAGCGTCACTTAACCATAGACTGGTCCGGACTCAGCCTGCGGCAAAGAAACAGAATGCGGGCAGGTCGAATACAACAACAGCGCCACAAGATAATGCAGGTAATGTTACAGACAATGGCATCATTACTATTGATCCGGGTGTCATATTGCAATCAAATCAAAATGTGAATCAGTCTCAATCTGCGATACCGCCGGGTAGTGACATGCACCGCGCTCTAGCCTGGTTATCACAGCTCGCATCTCAAGGTAATTTCCCATCTCCTCCACCCGCTGCTTCACGTACAAATATCTCCTCACCCCAATCTCTCCAAAGTCAGTTACCGCTCACATATCCCGTGGAAGCAATAGGCTCACACGTAAAGGAAGCCGTTCGGCAAAAAATCCTCAATGGCGAGTATGTTGACTTCCGTAATTTGCTCCCATCGGATAACCAACCTCTCGATGACCATGTCCCGCTTAGACTTGATTCAGATAGCAATGGTCAGGTCTTGTTCAAGCCATATGAATCTCACACTGCACGTCCACTGACTATTAGCGCATGGACGACTGCTTTCCATATCTTCATGGGGATATACGTAAGCAAGCACGCAGACCGAGTGCAGGAATTACTGTCATACGCTGAAACAATCAGGGGAGCAGCCTTCAAGCACGGTGGAGATTCATGGGCGACCTACGATTATCACTTTCGTCACAAAATGGCACGTGACCCAGCCAGGTCATGGGGTAAGATTGACGGTTACCTTTGGTTAAAGTGTATGTTGCCAGGTAAGAAAACCCTGTCACCAAGCATTCCTTCTTTCTCCAAAACGTCAAAGGGTGATGATAATGTATGTTGGGATTTTAATCGTTCCCAGTGTACAAGATCCGTGTGCAAGTTCCCACACAGGTGTTCCAAGTGTCAGAGTTTCAGCCACGGGGCCCGCTCTTGTCAGTCGTCACTTTTTCGTTCCCGAAACGCACCAGGCACGACCCAGCAACACCACAAGTACCAAAATGCCAGCACAACCGTCACAAGTACAGGTAAAACAATTGGCTCAGGTACCAATAAATCTTACTAATCTCTCTCCCTGGCTATCTCTCTATGGTACTGTAAATATGTTGGATGCACAGTTGTTGTTTCAGGGTTTTTCTGAGGGTTTCAATTTGCAGTACACTGGGCCTACTGGACCAAGGTTTGCACACAATCTCAAGTCAGCTACCCAACTTCCACACGTGACAGCTGAAAAACTCAACAAAGAAATCAAACTGGGGAGAATAAGTGGACCGTTTGAATCTCCTCCCTTTCCGGATTTGATTGTATCACCGATAGGTTTGGTAGGCAAAAAGGTTAGCAGTGAATCGGTGCCCACAGACGATCACTACAGCTTATTCATCACTTGTCTTACCCAGAAGGTAGGTCTATTAACGATTTTATCCCCCAGGAGCTTTCGTCGGTGACCTACACAAAATTCGACGAAGCAGTTACCATGGTACAAAAGTTGGGTAAAGGTGCCGAGTTGGCCAAATTTGATGTCAAATCTGCGTTCAGATTGATTCCGGTCCGCCCCAAAGACTTTCATCTTCTAGGAATGTGTTTTCAAGGTAAATATTACTTCGATAAATGTTTACCATTTGGATGCTCGATTTCCTGTGCATTATTTGAAAAGTTCAGCACATTTCTTGAATGGTGCATCATAAAGAAAAGCTCCTCGCATTCCTTAATTCATTACCTTGATGATTTCTTGTTGGGGGGGCTATCCCTTTACAAACACATGTTCTGAATTACTTAAAACTTTCTATGGACATGTTTCAGCAATTTGGTGTGCCGATTGCGAATGACAAAACTGTCGGACCCTCCACTACAATCACATTTTTGGGCCTGACGATAGACACTGTAGCTATGGAGGTGACAATACCGGCGGAGAAGATAACAGAGGTCACCCGGCAGATACAAGCAATCCTCACGAGCAGTAAAAAAGAAAATACGGGTAGTAGAGGTGCAATCATTGGTCGGTAGACTCCAGTTCATTACACGTGCTATCCCAGCAGGCAGAGCTTTCTGCAGGCGCCTGTACGACGCTATCAAGGGTCAGGTAAAACCATATCACCGAGTCAGGATTACCAGGGGAGTGAAAGAAGATCTTAAAGTCTGGCAAACATTTCTCCTCAACCATAATGGTACATCTGTGTTTCAGAATGAAGAGTGGATCACGTCAACCCAAATAGAGCTTTTCACAGACGCTGCCAGTTCGTGCGGGTTCGGGGTATACTTCCATGGGAGTTGGGCGTATGGTAAATGGCCAGGCGAATGGGTGAGAGCGGGTTACATGAAAGACATGACTTTCCTGGAATTGTTTCCTGTCATCGTAGCCCTACGTTTGTGGGCACCTAAGTTTCTTAACAACAAGGTAATGTTTGTGTGTGACAACCAAGCTGTCGTGTCCATCATCAACAGGCAAACATCCAAGAACCCCAAGGTGATGTCTCTCGTGCGTTTGCTAGTAGCTTCATGTCTGAATCATAATATTCTGTTCCGTTCCAGGTACATTTCTACTCATGATAATGTTATAGCTGATGCTATTTCGAGGTTTCAGTGGGATCGTTTCCGGGAAGCAGCACCACAAGCAGACTCAACAGCAACACCACTACCACCGGACATCTGGGACATCTAAGACTGGAGTCGGACCGTTTACTGGACCTGTCACTATCCAGAAACACTTGGAGGACCTATCATACAGCGTTACAGTCTTTCAACGAGTTCAGAGTGTCACATTGTCTCCCATCTACATGGCCGGCACCGCTTGATCATATTATGTATTACTTGTCAGCATTGTCATTGCAGGGTAAATCGTCTAGAACGGCCAACGCCTATATCTCAGCACTGGGAACCTGGCACAAGTGGCACGACATGCAGGATGCATCCCAACATTTCCTGGTGCGGAAGACGCTCTTAGGATTCAGCAAAGCAGCTAGGGCCAAAGACAGTCGACGCCCGATCACAGCAGAAATATTATTATCAATTTCCAACGTTCTTCATATTGTTTGTTCTTCTGTTTATGAATGCAATCTTTTTAAAGCAGCATATACACTGGCCTTTTTCGGTTTCTTCAGGATAAGTGAGTTGGTACCTACCTCCCTTTCTGACACGTCGCGTAGGTCTCTCACTATTCATGATGTAAAGATTACAGGTAACGCAGCGGCCATGCATGTCACACTTCAATATTCTAAGACTAAAATCGCGACCGACTGCTTCCCCTTATCTTATCTTATCTTTTCCTTCACTTTGATGGCAAACAACTAACTAGATTTCAGTTTCAGGCAGTGCTGCAGAAAGCCATCAGTCATCTTGACGTGGGGCATCTTAAATTCACTTCTCACTCTTTCAGAATCGGGGCTGCTACTACGGCAGCTATGAACGGTGTTGATGCAGAGACCATTAAGAGATTTGGTCGATGGTCATCTGATTGTTATCTCCAATATATAAGAATGTAAACTGCTTCCATAATTATAATGACAAATTGCGTAATCGTTGTAGGTGTGTGGGTAGTTGGCGACAGCTACCTGGCCCGAGCGAGACCTGCGCTGGCGGACACCCTCGGCAGCATGGGCCCGGTGGAGTGGCGTGTCAAGGGGGGCTGGAAATGGCGCCATTACAGGCCGGCAATAGATGATCTGATCGCCAACTCAGCCCGTCAACCCCGGATCCTAGTATTACACCTGGGCTCAAACGACCTCGGAGTCACCACCGGCCGGGAGCTCTTTGAGCAGATCATGGAGCAGCTACTCTACACTCGGTTGCGGCTTCCCCACACCAGGCTCCTGTGGTCCAATATGTTGCCGCGGTGTTGCTGGCGATATGCTAGAGATATTAAGTGTGTTGAACTTGGCCGTAAGAAGCTGAATAGGCGTGTTGCCAATCTTATGAGGACAATCGACGGTGAAGTCATCCGCAACGACTTTATCTACCCAGGTGTAGATCACTACATCAGTGATGGGGTGCACTTGACTCCCGTCGGGTTGCACATTTTCTGTGATGACATTCGCTGCAGCATAAGTTCATCATAAGTTCAGTTTCATTGGCAAACTTGGTGGAGTCCTCCTGTGTTTTTCCCTCCATAAGTTTACATTATCAATTCTACCAAAACATAACATGACATAACACTTTCTAGTTTATTTCGGTGTGGATGGTGCAGCACTCTCAGTGCTCGGTGGCGAGGTTCGGGGCGGACGCGAGACCAATCTCTCGCTCGGTTTATACTTCGCTGCTGCTGCTAGGCTGTCTATTTTCCAATAGAGGCTACTTCCAACCTTCGGGTGGTCAAAATAGCATTTGAAACATCGCCGCTACCTGTCTCGTCTGTTCAGGGTCCAGCGGAGAGCAGGTCATTAAATCGCTTTGGCTTGGCCCTGCGTCCGCCTTCGCCTTCCACACCTGGCCTTTGTAAATCCAGTTCTCTACTTTGTTATCAATTTGTTTTTACATAGTTTATAGGAGAGTCGGACTATAATTCCATTTAGCATTATTTGGCTAAATGTCGTTATTGTACGCTCCATGCATTTCCTGAATTCCTACAATTATTCTCATTCTACTGACAATTACACATAATTTCTTTACAGCAAACACAATAAATTCCTCTTAAAGGTCACATAAACCCTAGGGGGGTACAAATACATAAATCACTAACTGGCATCGTTATAAATGAAACCCCGCCATTAAAACTACTCATTTCGACCTTTAATTGACTTAAATCGACCTTTTTGACAACAGTGCACAATTCTCACCCGCGAACGAAATTTCAACCAATCAGAGCGGCGCGCCTCTGTGACGTCATATGAGGAATAGCTTTGAGTGCCGATGCAGAATTCATCTACATTTTAGGGGGTAAATTATCGTGTTTACAGGCTTGTATAAACCTGAAATTGTGACAATTGTTGTGGAAAATGAAAGCTATATGTTCTCACAATCTACTGTCATTTAATTTTGTCTCCTGCTTTGCCTAGTTTCCGAGTTACAACTTGTTTTCATAGACGATTCTGTCAAAATCGATTGGTGTCGTTAGGCCCTATTTGTATAATGACTGATCCAAATTGATCCCATTTCTGTGTTGTTTTACCTCGATATTTAATCATGTCATGTAAAAATCTGTTTGTATTCTCAAAACAGTGTCGGCCCATAAGTTTTCACATGCAATACAGCAATTAATACTCCCTCGTTGTAACCCGTGTTAGGTGGTATAAACCTACACATGTTATTTGTCATCATTCACTTGATGGTCAGTTAATGAATTTATAACAGGTATAATTAGTGGTAACACACTTAGATTACCCGACAAAGGTTCCCATTTGGCATTTCTTGTGTCTGGAGTAAATATTCAACATTATAAACATCGATCAAAGGATTAACCGATAACACGCTGATTGATTAATTACTTTTATCTTACCCAGCGGAATTGTCAAAAGGTAGTGTTTATGTATGTAGATTTACTAATCTATACTGAATCCACTCTGTCGTGTCGGTGTCTGCGTAAAAACAACGTCCTTCTTTCAAAGGATTAACCGGCAATACATTGATTGATTGCCCATTATTGGCTAATTAAATTACTGTTTTTAATGAAAGGCGGACATTATGCAATTAGTTGCCAGGTGTGCTATCTTGGGTGACCAATGAGACTATACACCAATACCTGAAAAGATTTATCACTTTTCGTATATTAAACTGTTAAAAGACACATCATTTGGAACAGTTTTGTGGATATTGATGGATACATTCCTCGAACAAGGTAATGGCCTGATATTGTTCCTATAACTTTAATCTGTTTTAATTTTAATATTTGCATTTTGTTTTTATTCATTTGTCGTAGCATTCAACAGAATCATTGTTTTCGCCGTGAAGTGTAATGAGACAGACAACATGCACTAGGGTGTGTGTGCGAATTATGATTCACATTGGCAAACTATAAAATGTCTAGATATAACAGTTCTGTTATAAATTCACTATAAGTATCAGCAGATCGTCTGCTTTTTATTTAGTTTCAAAATGCATACAAGTGTGATAATAAACTAATTAGGATTATAAGACAAAATATAAAGACGCTCATTGACTAGTATCTACATACTGGTGAGTGGACATTAACCATGGGAATGTAGCAAGAAATTTATCGCGCAGTATTGTGACTTCGACCCCCACCTCGCTTCCGTGGAAGAAATCGTTATGTTATAAGTTGTGTCATGCAAAATCCGTTTGGTTATGATTCCAATACATATTTAACAACGAGTAGAAAGTAGTCTTGATTTTCTAACTTGATGAAAACAAACTATAATCTCATTAATTCTAACAGATTTTTTATTTTTAAAATGGCGGCGCCCTATCGGGAACATCCGCCAGTCTGAGGATAAATGGTATTTAGGTTTGTTTTCACCGAGTTACAAAATCAAAACTACTTTCTACTGGTAGTAAAATATGTATTTTATTGATGGCCAATAGGAATTTGCATGACATAGCGTATATCATAACAATTTCTCTCGTGGCAGCGAGGTGGGTGTCAATATAATACTACTTACAATATTATTGTTACTTCGACCACAACCTCACTTCCGAGGAAGAAATCGTTATGTTACAAGTTGTGTCATAGAAAATCTTTATGGTCATCAATCATATGCATATTTTACTACAACTAGTAAGTAGTTTTGATTCTTTAACTTCCGTGAAGCGATCTGAACACAAGTAAGATATCGTTTCAGGCTTCCACAACGCTCGCTTCGCACTCACAAACATAACCCATTTAGCACGAACTACGGGGTCCTGTGGAAATCTGTGCATGGGGACACCATCGCCCGACCCCTAGGAGCAATTGACGACAAAGCAACGATTCGGCATGTCGTCGTTGATGTCGAGAAATCATCAAAATGATGAGCGTGCTACACATTTTCTATACAACTAACTGAAAATCGTTCCTCATATGACGTCACTGCAGTGCTCTGGCGACAGAGTTGCGTAACCTGTCTGTGGTTTCGTTGGCGGGCGAGAGTGAAGCAGGCGACTATTTGGCTACTTCTAATCGCTCGGTATTAATTAACCACAAGTTTTTAAAGAATAAATTTGGTGTTCCGCATAAGACTAACCACAAATCTTTCATATGTAATGGTTAAAAGAGTAACAAAAAACAAAGTTTAGTGGTTGTTTAACAAAACACGTGCTCATGTTTACAAACACCCAAAGATGGGCATTTCATCACATCCGCTTACATTACGTCATCACACAATTGGAGACGTCATCATAATATTTATATTACGTCACTTTCTTTCATTCCGCCGCCATTTTAGATAACCGTCATTTTATCAACCACTTGTTAGCAATTTCATTTTATCATCTTTTTCTCAGTTTTCCTCCCATATGTTTGTTTGAACATATTTTATTCAGTGTTGAAATGGATTGGGCACAAGTTATGTAGCTTATTACCGCCCGCTCCCATCAGAAACATGAACAATAATGAACAATAATGATTGGACGTAATGGATGGACATAATAATATTGAGACATATTATTGATTAATTGAAGCGCTTACTTCGTACAATGTATTTATGCACATGTCTAAAGATATTTTCATTGATAGTATTTGGCAGAGCAGGGTTGCCGTAAAGTATGGTATCAATGTCTAACTGAACTTTTGATAGTTCAAAGTCTTTCTTCAGATCAAAACGGCAACTGACAAATTGTGGACATTTTAAGAAGAAATGGTTAGCGTCTTCCACCGGAGCACCACTATTGCAAGCTCTACTCGCTGATAGATTAACACCAAACAGATCTGCTTGTAATGAACTACACGAATGTCTTAACTTCGTGTGTAGTATATTAGTCTTTCTTTCACCAAATAGAAAATATTTTGGAACCTTGTCATTATTTCCAGATAACTTTGATTTAAACGATGATAATGAATTTGTACATTTTGTTGTAGAGGAGAGAGCATTCCATAAACTTGCAGAATCATAAATAAATGACTTTTGGAGAATTGAGGTGCGAAATTTAGGAACAGAGTTAAACTGCAATTGTACCCAAGGTAGGAAACAGTTACTGATACATGCAAACCAAGACTACAGACTATAGTTCCATAAAAGCGGTCGACTTTACTTCCAATACATCAGACATCAGTTTTAACACTCAGTGTTTCCATTTCTCATCGTCATGTAATACAATATATACATAATAAAGCCGTAGCACAAAACAAGTTATCCAAGCTTTACGCTAGTGTTCATAATACTTTGTACCAATATTAGAAGTCAGTAAAACCACTACTCATGTTTATGTTTTAATTCTTATTATGACATTACACATACCTGGGCCTGCTTTATGTAATAAAGCAAAAAGTGGTCAAATCAGTTACAAAGAATAGTATTGACAAGCATAAAGACGATGAACGTTTACATAAACATGATCAATATTCATGATAAATTTGCATACTTTTACAGTTTTATCATAAGCACCTACTTAACTCCGACTTTGCATCGTTTTAAATCTTCCAAAAAGGATATGAGTTTGTACTGGATAGTGAACAGTTATCGCCATATTTTAGCGGTATTTGCAAAATTACCCCGACGTTCGTTAAATTAATGAAACAAAATTAAGTAAGATACTTTATTAGCTATTCATGTGTCCAGCCCGTTCACTAACGCCGATCATGGTTTTATTAGGGAATCATGGCAGTATAAATAGATGTTTTCTCACAACAAACTGTAACAGTTATCGCCATTCAAAATTTCGCGTGCGATTCGTGAAATAATACATATTAATATCATACAGTCACCTCGAATAATTCATAGTGTAACTATTTAAGTGTTTATTTTACAGTAGATTGATAGGGGGTGGAACAATTAATGACTTGTGAACTTGAATTTGATATTAAATAGGGTCCCCCACACACACACACACGCACACGCACACGCACACGCACACACACACACACACCCTATTAAATAGGTCGTGGGACCTTGTTAACTTGTGCATTCAAGATAACTAACTAGTGCGCTCAAGATAGCTAACTTGGGCGCTCAATATATCAACTTGTGCACTCAACATACTAACTCGTGCGCTCAAGATAAACTTTATTTCATCAGGTCCCTTCAGCGCTTCTGTACTTCGCGACAAGAACATATACATATTTGATATATTATAAAAATACTAATACCTCACTTATGCCCATCTTAAGAAGAGGTAATTAAATTTATGTTTTCCGAAAAGAGTGCTTATCGTGAACCTAGGCCTAAGTTTATTCCAAAATCTAAACATCTTTTTGTATTTTCTGTTGTGCTTTTCATTGGATAACATCGGCAATCTAAGTCGTTGTAAGGTAGCATGGACAACCTGCACATCATTTACTTTGAACTTTGCAGTTGATGTTATTTAAAATGCATATGATAACTCGGTCAGTATATAATTTCGAAATGTTATATTATTGAATGTCAAGGTCAATGAGTAGAAAACAAATGTTGTCAAAGAAGGATCCATCGTGAAGGAGAGGAAGTTTCGAACCACATACTCGAAGAATATAAACTTGTGTCTCAGTAAAATAGCTAAAAACCACGAAGCGTTTTTATGAGTCGGTATTGAAACTAGGCCACACCAAAGTGCCCGCTCGTAGCGCCCTCTCACAATGGCTTCAGATGGGTAAGTTGGAACCGCCTAACTCCAAGAAATGCCGTTAATTGCCGTTATTTCAATCTTCATGCTTCGTTGTTTATAAATCTGAATTGTGTAATGTCAATCGGGTCCGACTTTGGACGCATGTGGAAGGTGTGTTTGGTGGATTATTATGAAAAGCGAGTATGTCTGTTTGCGTGGCCTAGCAAAAGCATCCTCCATACTGTTTGGTGTATTGTGTCGTATTTTGAACACATTACTCATGAGTCTGACGCACATGTCTTCAAGACAGATGAGTTCGATACATGTCAGCTTTCAGATGTGTACACAGGTTCCATTAGAAGCCCTGAATAGTCTGTCGCCCCCCGACTAAAACATCGCCTTTGTTAGTTAAAGGGAGGTAACTTTTGACAACCCTTACTCAGTGACACGGAAATATATTTGCAACGAAATGTGGAACAACTTAAATAAATTGAATATGTATTTAAATTGCGTTTCAACTGACATATATATATATCAATAAAGATGAATAAGAATATAGTGTATAAGTGTATGAATATTTGTAGGAAGTGTAAATTCAAGATAATTACGATAAGCCAGCCACTTGGAACAAGTTTGCTCAAAAGAACATGAATTATGTTTCATTATTGTGACACATAGATCTATACTCAGTATATATGTTTCTTGAGATAATAATTATGTATAGATATAGTATAGACATAAAGGTATGGTAAAGGATTCCACTATTTCATTATAAACACAAAATATTATTACAATTATTACTGATAATTTATAAAAGTTATATGTTTTTTAAATGTGTACAATTGCCAATTTTAAAACGTAACATTTAAAGCCATAACTCTCTGCAGAATCTTAAGATGTCATTCACATGAAATAAATATGGAAATTTTTTATGTCAGTTGGTCAGTCATTTTTCAATGCAAAACTTTAATAATCCAGAATATAGTTAACATGAAAATATTGCGGATTCTAGTTGTCCCAGTGAATGCATGTGATTGTGTTTGAGGTCACCGTTAGTTACATAATATGGTACATGGTCTCAGCCTAATGTTGGAGCAAAGTCTGCATAATATAGGTCTTAACATTAATCTTGTTAGTGAAATTCCCAAACAGGTACATGAAGTGTGTGAAAATATTTCAATATCTTACCAACCAGGGAGGGGTAGCTGGCCTTGAATATTAGTGTCCAACATTTCACTTGTATATTTACATGTACCACAAACGCAACAATTATGTCCCCATCATAAAGAAATAAAGTGATAAAAAAAAAATAATTTTTTTCACACTAGTTTGAATTGAGGTTCACTGATATAATAATAATGATAATTATGGCATTTATATTGCACTGTCTCCATGCCAGGAAGGTATGCTCAAAGCACATTAACACATTATTGTCCTGGATAACCCAAGCTGCCTGTTAGAGGCTAGAAGGTTATAATCACATGACTTATCCCAAAGGGATGTACATAGCAAGGAACAAATTGCCATTAAATTTTAAATTTTCACTTGCCAATCAGGCTAGGTGGTTGGGCTAGAGACATTTCCAATTCTCTTGCCTGACAGAAAGTTAAATAGTTCCGGGCAGGCAGCTATTTCATACACGGAGGACATGGTGCTGGCAAACCAAGAATAATGACCACAGTGAATCTTGGATTTGAACCCATTGTCATTCAGCATATTCATCTCATGGCTGCCACAAATATCAGTTTTTATCAACATTATTTGGGATATGGATGTTCATATATTTATAAGCTATACTGGACTTTGTGGTACTGCAACAGGAAATGTTTTTTTATGTGTAATTGAATCTGTTAGTGTAGTTGATAATACCACAGACCGTGATAGAATGATAAACCTGTACAGTTTCCTTGTATCTGGGACCTCCACAATACTGACATCAGGGGCTTGCTTATAACAAATTTCATGTGACCTGTGAAGGTTCAGGTTAGAACTGGTCTTCAGCAACCCAAGCTTGTTGTAAGAGGCGACTAATGGGATCGGGAGGTCGGGCTTGCTTGCTTGGTTGACACATGTAATCATATCCTATTTGCGTAGATTGTTCTTCATGCTGTTGATCACTGGATTGTCTGGCTCAGACTCGATTATTACAGCCTGTTGTCATATAGCTGGTCTAATTGCTGAGTGTTGCGTTAAACAGCAAAACAAATTTCATGTATTCTAGCAAAGATTACTATTCTTGCACGTTGATAAAACATGTTCAAAAGTCGGACAAGAAGCTATTTTTGCAAAAAGGTCCGTGCATGCGTGTGTTTGTGTGGCTGCTTGTACTAGCCCAGACTTAAGCTGGTTTTATAGTGCTAGCCCACTGAGATACCATGCTGCAGTGAAGCATGAATACCCCACCCAGACACTTTATACTGACTTCGAGCCGATCAGTCCTTGTTTAACCCATTAATGCAGAGTGCCAGGCAGGGAACAAGTACCATATATTTACATCATTTGGTATGACGCGGCCAGGGATCGAACCTGCGACCTTCCACTCTTTGGCGGACGCTCTAACCACTACACCATGGATGCAGTCCTATGATTTATAAACTGTGTTTATTATATACATTAAAAAGCTACTGCAAGTAACCCAAGCTTCTCTACATTCTTTTCATCATTTCAGACCGCCTCCAGATGTTTCAACATATTCCCCAGTACCGGCCAGTACTTACAGCTTGAAGGAAAAGATCAAAGTGATATTCTTGGAGGAGGCACAGTATCTGTACCAAACATTTCTCACCGTCAACTCCGTGTCCCTCAATGGCACCCTGTCCATCAGTATTAACGGAAATGAAGAAATAGGCGTAATCGAAGTCTCTGAGACAACAGAAAGAAATTCCTTTGGAGAGGCATACCCTGATCAACAATATGGAAGCAGCACTGCTTCCTCTTATTCCAGTGCCGGTGTTCCAACACAGAAAGACGGCAGCCAGGTCACTGGCATGTCAAAGTTGGCCAAACCTTTCCCTGCGCTGCCTCCGAAGCAGAAGGCCTTTGACAAGAGCTGGTTTGATAAAGTTACCTCCCTTGGGAGACTGGAACTGATGAGGAAGTATGACAGAGCAGATGAGGATGCCCTGCCCCCTGAACCAAAGAATCGGACAGTTGGTAGGTAATAGGGGTTTAAAGAATATGAAAATCTCAATGTATGTGCAGTGTGTGCTTCACCCATTTGTGAAATATACTCATCATTTATACCCTCAGAAATTGTATACTGAATGTAAATACACTACCCATCAAAAGTTTAGACTCACTAGTGTAAATGTTGCCACTAACTTCTGTCAACTGTTCCTAACTAGATTTTGCAAAATATTCCACACTGTTTAAAGGTACTGTTTACACATGAACTGATGTACTGCAAAACATATTTGTGACGTTGGAAAGATTATTGTCATGAGTTCAATAAATGATGAAACTCAGTGAAAATTGGCGAATTCTTAACAAAACTTTACACCAAAACCCAACTGTTCACATGCACTATTTGCACATGTTTTTCAACAATTTGATACATGATACTCGTGCAGTTCATCTGCATAAGGTTTTCAGTTGGTTCCCCCAAGTTAGTGGAGAAATTCATCTTTGATGTAACCATATATATATACATAACATTTAGTGAGTGCTTTAAGTGAGTCTAAACTTTTGATGGGTAGTATATGTAAATGCAATTCACTAATACTTCTTCAGTAGACGATTTTGAAGTTTATGTACAAAACTACATGATTACTAACATTGCATAATTGCAAGATCACAAAATGCATGTCCACTTTTTGTTGCTGCGTCTGTGTGTTTGTTTTAACTCTCAGCAATATTCCAGCTCTGTATGTGGGCCGATATAAAATCACTTCAGGATTACAATGACATGTCATCAACCACATGATCCATTTATCTGCTATTTACCTGTATGGGCTAGTTCTTACTAGTTTCTGCTAGTTCTTACCAGTTCTTACCAGTATAGGCTAGACCAATTCTAACCAGGAATACCAATGGGTGTCCTTCCTTTTAATTTATCTGGAATCAAATTGCTTACATAGACACCTGAAAATCATGGTCTATGCTTAGGTTATATCAGGCTGTCAACTGCCACTCCTTGGAAGGTTACTGCTAGGCCACACCACAACGGTTTATTTCCAGTTGGATTTATTTGGAATGAAGCTGCAAAGTACCTATAAAAGTGGAATTAAAAGTTGATGTTCTGCCTGTACTTTGCATGCATCTTGAAACAGGGATGGTGCTGTCTAGTAACAATCCTGACCGATTATCAGGATCAAGTTATTCTACACAACCACTCATCCAACAATGATCTGTGGACCAGTTGGATATGACCAATTGAGTCTACCCCATATAAAACAACATACAAATTCCAAATAAGAAACCAAGGAAAACCCACAAGACTCTCAGTTTGCTTGTGGAATAAACCAACCAAAAACAGCTTGAGTCACAAACAAATCACGTGCTCGTCAGATATTCCAATAAGGTGAGGTGAGGTGAGGTGAAATTGGGTTTAACGTCGTGCTTGAGAATATTTCGCTCATATGACGACGTGCATGCGTGTGTATGTGTAAGTGCGGCTGCTTGTACTAGCCCAGACTGAAGCTGGTTTTATAGTGCTAGCCCACTGAGATACCATGCCGCAGTGAAGCATGAATACCCCACTCAGACACATTATACTGACTCCGAGCCAACCAGTCCTTGTTGTACCCATTAAAGCCGAGCGCCAGGCAGGGACCAACAAGTACCATATTTTAACGTCTTTTGGTATGACGCGGTCGGGGATCGAAACCGCGACCTTCCGATCTCCGGGCAGACGCTCTTACCACTAAACCACGGAGGCGGTCTATTCCAATAAGAATTGGAATGCCAAAATTATATGTTTTGTATGATGTTGCCTTGCAAAATTATATGTTTTTGAGATTTCTTTTTTATTGTCATGCAAGGTGAAATTTGTGTTATCATGGCCATTATAGAGTTGATTCTGATCATCTATGATCAGTATAAGATCACATGTGACTGAAGCAAGATTAAGTGAAATGGTCTGTTTTAGTGCTTTTGGTTTTCAACATGTTCAGCCTTAAGACTTGAAATCTGAATTTGCAAATTAATACAAACAAGTATCAAAATTATGATTATAAAGAAATGTTTCATGCTAAAAAAAGTAATCTCCAGTAAGACAAGCTGTCATACCGAAGGTTTTAGTGAGATTACGAGAAGTGTTTGTAAACAGAAGCAGCCATTCACCTTCATGAACATATACTAGTATCTGAACATCGATTAGAATGATTAGGGAGTGAGTGAGTTAAGTTTTACGCCACCTTCAGCAAATATTCGAGCAATATCACGGTGCGAGACACCAGAAATGGGCTTCACACATAGTACCAATGTGGGGAATCGAACACGGGTCTTTGGTGTAGCAAGCGAACACTTTAACCACCAGGCTACCCTACCACCCCTGTTTAGGGAGAGGTCATATTGTGAACATACATAATTGATAAATGATAACAAAAAGAAATGTGCATATGCATTTATTTCATATTTCCTTGTATCATCAACATTATTAGTATTATTTTAACATTGATTGTAATTCTCAATGCCTTTACCAAAGTTGAATGCAAGACATTGATTCGTCAGTATTTGCACAATGGAATGCCCTTGCAGTAGTTTGTATGTGTCTTATGCCTCACATTAGTGATAACCTGTCCAACACATTCCATTAACATGATTAATGTTCAAAGTTTACTTGAATTATTTCTGTGGAGACGCAATAATCTGTGTGATCTCAATTCTCCTAACAATCCCCTCCTCCCTGTGAGTGTTAAAGTCGGCATCATGAACAGCTGTCTCTTCTTCATTTGATTCAGCATCTTTGAACAACTCAACATCACCTTTCTCATGGCAGTAATTATGAAGGGCACAACAGACTAATATCACTTTCACTATGTCTTCCATGTCCATCATATCGATGTAATATAGTCTAGGAAACCTTGCCTTCAAATGTGCAAATGCCCTCTGTATCACTTCCCCAGTGTCTTTGTGGGTCTGGTTGAATTTCACTTGGGACTCATTTAAATTTTCACTTTCATCAAATGGAGTCAGCAGCCAGTCTTGAAGTGGATAAGCTGAATCTGCGACCAGGTAGTGCCCAGGTGGAAAGAATTTCGATTGGTTGTTCATGACATCCATGTATAAATCGGAATCATGGAACACACTTGCATCGTCCACAGATCCTGGCCAGCCTGTGCAGCAGTGTAGAAACTTCATCTTATGATCACAGACCGCCTGGAGTATGATTGAAAGTTTCCCTCTCAGATTTGTGTAGTAATCTTTTTGGGCTACAGGTGCCCTTACATGAATATGTGATACATCTATGACGCCAACCACTCTGGGCATTCCTGTTAGATGGCTGAAGTTTTCAGCTATGTTTGCCAGTCTGGAAGATTCAGGCCACTTTATAAACGTTTGCATAACTTGATAGATTGTAGAAACAACCTTCCTCACAGAGATCAAAATAGAACTTTCACTAACCTGGTAAATCTTAGCCAGCTGTCTCATACTTTTTCGACTACCCAAGTAATTCAAGGTGATGTACAGTCTCATTTCTGTTGATAATTCTGGTCGCCCGCCCGAATGTGCTGACTGCTGATCTGTATGACTTTCAAGTGTTTTAAGTAGCTCTTCAAACATCACCTTGTTCATTCTAAAGTGCCTTCTGTAGTCTTCTTCGCTGCAGATTCTGTAAATTGGCTCAACTCTCGCATGTCTGTTTGTCTTGGTATAAAGCTCTGTTCCATTTTCTGACTCTCTCTGGTTCATTGCATGAATAATTACAGCCACTATGTCGTCATCATAGGAACTGTCACTCAAAATGCCTGATTGTAGGATGTCTGTATTGTCAATGTCGAGAAAATCCAGGACGAATGGAACTGACTTCAGTAGAATGTCAGCCATCTTGCTTTACTAGAGTTCTCTCCCTTAACGCATCAAGGGAGACAATTGGCAATTTTCACAATTTCTCATCAAATTATTATATGAGATGGTCATTTTGTAATTTGTCACGATCCTTCAATTGTCACTGTTAAATTATGTGTTGAAGTACTGGAATACAATATAGTTCATGTTTTAAATACGTTGAGCAGTCTCAATATTAATTGCTAATTTAAAACACTTAAATTTTTAAACATGTGAATTTGTAATTTTAATTTTGAAAATTGTAGCATAGTGAAAGTTATCTTGAAAAAAGGATAATTTTTGTAAACATTATATTAAAATGTTAGCAAAGTATAGAAATATATAACAAACAAACACACACACACACACACACACACACACACACCCCAAAGCTTGATAAATGTTTCCCTAAGCACAATATTTTTTTAAATTTTGTTTTGTAGGAATGGTTTTACCATTTAGAGTAAGGAACAGAGACCTAGGACCCATACAAATAGCCTTGTGATAGTACAACATCTACATAAATGGTTAACTGATACATGTTATGAAATGTACAAAATCTTTGGGATCCTTTTGGGATCCGTTCCCACTTGCTCAAATCAATTCCAAGGCTAATACTTTTGTAATGGCCATATTTGGGACCCAAAACAGTCACAGTACTAAGAGGACTTTGTGCAAGTGAGCCTTAGACTGACGAATATATGCATAAATACAGATTAAGTGTGTTTAATACTGTTTATTTTATGAAATGTTGAAAACTATATTTCATATGATTTCAGGCAGTCCAACCATAGATGTAAGATGGACAGGATCTGTCGCCAGTGGGTCTGCAGGCACAAGCCAAGACCATCCAATCAGACTGAGTGCAGAGACGCCGATAAATGACCTAGCAGTATCAGAGGGCATCAAACCAGAACTTGAACCAGATCCAGATGAGGACTGGATGCTGGATGAGGACAATGCTGAGGAGGACCATGAGGACAAGAAGGACAAAGACTACCTGCCAGAGATAGGAGAAGAGTCTGCTGTTGCTGATGATGCTGAAGAGGAAGATGTTAATGATGAAGAGGCAGACAATGACGAAGAGGCAGATAATGATGAAGACTGGTTGGAGTCCAAACGGAGAAGTAAGAGGAAGCCTGCTTTAAAGAGGAAGGTGCCGACAAAATCTGTTGTTCCCAAGAAGAGAGGAAGAAAAACTGCTGCCAAACTATCACTGAAAATTAAGTTGAAACAGCTGACATCTGTGAAGCCCAAGACGAAGGTGAAGAAAGATTCTAAGAAGGAGCAACAGCATCCAATACCTGCTGACCTAACATGCACACTATGCCAAAAGAAGTTTGATACTAAACGAGCATACAAAAGACACTCTGATCGGCACTGGAAGAGCTTTCAGTGTGATGAGTGTGGGAAACCATTCTCCTCCATGGATTCTTTGACACATCATAAACGAGGCCTCCATAGCTCCACAAAGCCGTACTCATGTGAAGAGTGTGGAACGACGTTTAACTTCCACCACAGCTACAAGCTCCACATGAGGAAGCATCGTGGTGAGCGTCCTTACCAATGTGACCAGTGCCAAAAGTCTTACCTGACTGCAACACACTTGAAGGCACATAAGGAGGCCATCCATGAGACCGGGACTATGAGTCAGTTTGTGTGTGATACCTGTGGGAAGACCTTCACTTACAGGAACAGCCTCAAGACTCACCAGATGATCCATACAGGGGATCGGCCGTACAAGTGCAGCATCTGTGAGAAAGGCTTCATCACTAGACAAGCTCTAAAGACTCACGAGGAGTCGTACCATGTCCAGGAGAGAAACTTCCAGTGTGATATCTGCTTGAAATTTTATAAGTCTGAACATCTGCGAAACGTCCATCGGCGGCGTCACACGAGTGATGTGAACAGGTTCATGTGTGACATCTGTGGCCGTCAGTTCATGTTCAAGAGTAACCTAGAAGCTCACTCATTTGTTCATCAGGATGAGCGGCCATTTGTTTGTAGCGTCTGTCAGAAGTCATTCAAGTGCATGTCCTCCCTCTACACCCACCAGTACACCCACAAGACAACCACACCATTCAAATGTGGCATTTGCACAAAGACTTTCAAGACCAAGAACTGCTGCAAGGCTCACGAGAAACGCCACAACGCCAAGAAGAACTTCATGTGTTCAACTTGTGGGGCCTGCTTCCCGGACAAGGGCGGACTCACCAAACACATCAGGACCATCCACTCTCCTCAGAAGCAGTTTATTTGTAAGCTCTGTCGGAAGGTTGGAACTAGAGCAGACAACATGAGGACCCATATAAAGAGTCATGGCAAAGAACTTGGTGGACTGGATGCATCTGAATTCATTGTAGAAGTCCATACATCCGGTGATAATGCAGATATTCAGGAAATAGCCGAGAAGTCATTAGACTTGTCTCGACAGATGCTATCCAAAGCTGAAACAGATGTTCAGCTTCATGCTCCAAAGCCATCAACACAGACCCAGGATGCATCGGTGTACCCACATACCCACAATCCAACCTCAATCCACCACAATCCTCGGGGTGTTAACATGCAGCTGCCCATCAACTACCACCCACCTCCAGTCTCCCCACCCCTCCCTGTGTACCAAGCACCTGTGTCTCCCGGCGCCCAGGTGTACCAGGCCCCCATGTCACCATCAGCAGGGATGTATCAGCCTCCCCTTTCACCCAGGAACTACCCCTGCCCACCCTCACCCCACAGAGAGCGCCCCTCCCACCACATGGTGAACCCTGGACATACTCATCAGCCTGACCCGGTGCAGACTGCTCTATGTCAGCCCCACACCTTGCAGCCGATGGTGACGGTCTCGTCTCAGCTTCAGCCGCTCCATCCACCAAACAATCCCATGCCTGCTCATCTTCGCAATCATGACCATGGTCCACCTGTGTTCCCACCTCAGCACCCACATGGACAACTTGGGGGTGAAGGTCACCATTCAGCAGACATGTAGATGTTCAAGGTCAATGAGTAGATGACTTGTGAAACAAGTTGTAGCCAGGTTGAAGTGAAACAGATTTTTAAGTAAGGTCAAGGATGATGTGTAGTAGACTTGTGAAACAAGATCAAGGTTCATGTGTAGAATACTTGTATAACAAGGTCAAGGTTGATGTGAAGCAGACATGTAAAACAAGGTCTGTGAGCTGCACACTTTTGACAAAGTCGGTGTGTACACAGACGTGTAAAGCAGATGAGGGTTGATGTGAAGCGGACATGTAAAAACTAGGTGATGGGGTGGCAGACGTTTTTTCAAAGGTCAAAGTTTAGTGAATCTAATTCATATTCAAGAAGCAAGCTTCACACATTGTAACAATGTTGGGAATTGAATCCAGACTTTTGGTGTGACAAACTAACACTTTAACCACTAGGCTACCCACTGCCCCCTTATGAATCAAAAGAAATGTTTAAGATATATAGCTTAATGTGACAGAATATCCTTGCAATCAAGTCTTCTGCTCTTTGCGGATATTTATGACACCTCCAGAGGACACCTTTCGAAGAGCCAATCAGCTCCGAGGCTTCTACGTTCTTTGTAAGTGTGAGCAAAATATCCAGAACAGCATATTTCTGTTGGTAGAAAACAAACTTTAAATCACCATTTCTGATTGTCTCCTTTTCTTATTGTCTTAAGAACCCTTCATTTTGATTGGGTGATCAATAGGTCATAGAGGGTTCACCTTCGACCATATATGGAGATGTCGTGAGATCTTCACACTGACGCATGAGATAAAATGTCTGATTTTTATGAGGTGTCTGGTTTGGGAAAATACGGACAGAAGGAATGGCATCAGTCATAATTCACAAGGTCAAGGTCATGAGCTTCAAGGTCATTCTAAACCTCTGAAATATATACCCAGTACATTGTTTTAATGCTGATAATCAGATCCATTGTAAATGTTGGGTTCCTGGCATTTTTCCGTGGAGTGTGAGCAAGAGGAGGTTTAATTTATTCCAGACATTTCAGGACCGGTCACTGTGTCTTATACTCACAGTTGGATGTTTTTATTATTAAACAATTCTTTAAAGAAATAATTTCTGCATGTTTTCTGATGTCACCTGTCACTGTTCTTTTGGATTTCCATATTTCCTATATATTTGGCACGTTTGGTGCTTAGTGTGTGTGTGTATGTGTGTTTTGGGTGAGGGGGTGGATGGTTATCAAAATCGTACACAGTGAGTTAAAAGTGATTCCGAGCTTGTGCAGAGGCAAAAAGAAAATTAATTCAATCTTAGATGACAGTACAACTGTTTTCATATACGGTTACTGGGCATACAACTTCTGTGCTACTTTTATTTTTTTTAAATCTGTAAAGTAGAAAAGAAAATGTTTAATAACATGTAAATTTTCAATATTTGTAAGGGGGCATATAAGAATTACTTACTCATTGGTCTAGAAGTTAAACAGTGGGTGTTTATTAGTGTATAATATGGTACGTGCGTGTTATACCTCATCTCGAGTGTTATACCATGTGAAAGTTGTTACTTAATATGTTTGCTTATCTATGTTTGTGATCACCAGCAGGAGTGTGCAGCATCACATACTGCAGCCATTGACATTCTCCTAAGATGCTTTTATAAATTTTACTTCAGTGAATTTCTTAAAGAAAATTCATTAATCATCAATACGAATGATGTAAAATGTTTTTTTCAATCATGCTTATGTATTGTCTGCTAAGCAGCATGTTGTAGTGTGGTGATGTTGAACCAATTATGTGGTTATATATACTTTATAGTTAACACAGTGCAGTTTGATTTTGTTCAGCCATCATATAGCTGAAATATTGCTGAGTGCTGTGTAAAACTTAACTCACTAAACTATTTTGTAATGTTAAATTATTTGAAGAGTGTGGGAAATGACCTGGTTACAGTGATATCTGTATAAACATAATTATTGTGATTGTATTTTTTTGGTATATTGTAGACAGAATTATTTTGCAAACTGAATAACAATGTTTGCAGTTGAATAAGGAAGACATCCTGGAACAACTTTAAACTGCTTAAGAATCCATTGTCAGTCTACCAGAACTGAAACTTAACTTACTTCTTGATGAAAGTGTGCTGAATATATTAGTGAGTTTATATTTTAACTTAAACAGTAATACATTGCTTATGTGTGTAGACCAAATCAAGGCTTTAATCAGTAGATACAGAACATTGTCACACATGCTGAATATTGTTGCCATACACGTGTTCTATTACGTTGATCTACCCAATACCGATACATACGGGGAAAGGGGTCGACTTATATTACATGGTTTTGGCAAGAATTTAGAGGGTTGAGAAAGGGGCCCCGACTTATAGTCAGATCCGACTTATAGTCGGTCATATACGTTACATGATTGGTGTGGCCACCCTGTTTGTCCTGGGTACCATTATCTATATTTATACTGCGGAGATAATCAGTGATTTCTAGTGAGTAGCTTTCATCAGGAAGCTGTTGTTAGTTCAGATATTCAGTTCAGTTCACATCTCATAGTCTGTCATGCAAGTGCTGAAGGGAGGTAACCCTTCTCACCTTGCCTGCCATAGTATGTATGGTATAACTGGCAGCTTGGGGTACGAATACATTGCTCATGTGAAAATATATACAAATTAATGTTTGTGGAATCAGAAGTAAACCCTGAAATGTGAGTAAATATGGTTTTATGCCACTTTTAGCAGTATTCCAGCAATATCAAGGCGGGGGACACCAGAAATGGGCTTCACACATTGTACCCATGTGGGAAATCAAACCCGGGTCTTCAGCATGACGAGCGGACGCTTTAACCATTAGGCTACCCCACCGCCCCTTGAAAGGTGAAACATTTCAAATTCATTCTGTAAATATACCTAGCGTAGTAGGTATATTATTGGCCTAATTTTACCGCAGTACTTTTTTCTTAAAGTATTGCTAGTATATTTGCTCTAATAGTTTGTCTGAAATGATTTAAAGAATGCGTTCGCATGATTGCATTGATTTGTGTTAAACTGATACATCTTTACAACCTATGCTTTTCTTCATCAACCAGCTGCCATAATATATATTTCTTAGATCATGATATCACAACGTTTCACAGATGACATTAAAGTTAGAAATGAAAGATTCACATGAGTTAAGCTTGATATGAATTACAGAACCTTTCTACAAGTGCTGTAATGACACTAAGTGTAACACAACATTAATCATGATCAAGACAAATCCTGTAAGTATACATACATTCTTTGATATGTATGACAAACATCATGCAAGGCGATAACAGTCTTGAACCTAGTCACATGACTAATTTGTGCATAAGTACACTGTGTACACATTAAAATGGCCTTGTTGATAAGGCCACTCTTAAACAGGCCATCAAGTGACCCTTATTTCGTTTTGCAGATGTGTCAGTACTACAACATGTGTAGCTATACATTTACACTGTTCATGGAGGAAGATGGTTTACACAACCTGGGAACTTTTGATAATGATGTGGCTGGTTCTTGGTTCTAAAATGTGCAAATAAATTTAATCAAAGTTTTAACTCTCTGTTATGTCACGATTTAATTGTGACACAACAGTGTCGAGGTGAACCTTCACGTCTGAGTATCTGTGGAACATGTCTAACAAATTACACAGAAACGTAGTCATTCCTCAGACCACATCATCCATAATATATCAGTGCACATTAGAATTCTTCAATCCGAATTTCTGGATGGTGAGTGGCAACCATATTTTATTGAAACGTTGCTGATAATCACTTGTTTGACTGTATGATTGTTTAATTTATAAATCGGGGATGAATGAATCAACATATGCTTGCTTTGTTTAAAGACTTCCAGTATTTGAAAATTAACACGATCAGATGAGGACATGTTATATTTGGGATTACACTTTCTCAGTAAAGTACAGGTTCTAGTACTTTTGTTTGGTTGAGTCCTATGTGGGATTCAAACCCACATCCTCAGAGTCAGGCACCCAATTGCCAGCACACAAAGTCAGCCATCTAACCCACTCAGCCATCGCTGGATCCACAAAAATGGAAGTCAGACAACTACCAGTTGTGACTCAACCCAACAAAAGTACTAGAATCTACTTTACTGAGAAAGTTTAATCCCAAATATAGCGTGTTACATTTGACCACTTTCTAAATGGCATTGTGTGATCAGACGTGCTGATGATATTGAAGGTCAAGGTCACCCTGAAGGTCAAAGTTGAAAAGAAACTTGTGTGGAGCAAGTGTTTATTGTTAAAGACACGATCTACAACAAACACAGGTCATGACTGCTCATTTTTATATATTTAATAACTTTATTGTCTCCTCTTTACTGTGATAATCATTCTGTAACTGCATTTGTTTTCTATGTTGGTGTGATGTCATTTCTACTTGTGAGTCAATTCAAGATTTTTCTCAAAATGAGTTTTGATGTGTTTTCATTCTATAAAATAGAAAACAAACCTAGACAATGTGTGACTGCTTTGTATCCAAGAACACACACTGCTTGCCATGCCTTAAACACCCAGAGAGCTTTGCTTTTGTCAATAACAACAATAAATAATTATAAACTCTCTTCATTTTGTTCTTTCCAATTCAAGATGGATCATTTGTTAAATCATAATAGCTAAGATGAAGAAACTAACTTACACCAAATGAGTTACCTTGGGCTGGGTTGTTTCAATCAAATGGTCAAAGGTGCTGCAATTTGGATGTGCAAAGTTATTTCCCTTGGCAGTGCAAGGATCTGCTGATGATGAGTGAAATAATCAGAAGTAACCTTGATCATCTGGACATTATAATGTTGTCAGGTATATGCTTCAGATCAACATACATCCTGGATTAATGATGAATGTTCTTCCTATATGTGTTTATGGAGATATATGTGCACACTGTGTAAATCTTCATATTTTGGTTGACATCTTCTTAAAGGCACAATTTCACACATTTTCGACAATATTTTGGCCTATGTTTAATATATGATGGCATATGCACTCACTTTAGCTTCCTATTTGATGTGGGCGGTGGGGTAGCCTAGTGGTTAAAGCGTTGGCTTGTTACGCCGAAGACCCGGGTTCGAATCCCCACATGGGCACAATGTGTGAAGCCCATTTCTGGTGTCCCCCGGCATTGATGTTGCTGGAATATTGCTAAAAGTGGCGTAAAACCAAACTCAGTCAGTCAGTCTTATTTTATGCAATAAAAGGAATCGATAATTGAAACTTTGAGGCGAACAGCTTCCAAACAGAGAACACTTGCCATATATGGATGTAAACAATTGTTCCGTACATCAAAAACTGTCACATGTGGTGTTGTCAGTGTTTGCCGAACTGGTTTCAATCACAAGTTGTGTGTAGGATATTTATGAAGAGTGCTCCAAGGGACATATAACTCTATGGGGTTCACTTGAAATAATGTTCGGCCGGTAGAGGGTGCGAGAGTCGATTTAATGCAACATTGCATTAATTCTTTCTAACATTTTAATTTAATATTGTAATCTAAATGAGGGCTGATAGTATTATTGAGAGAAATGCATTATATATTTTTAGAGAAGTGTGAAGTGATACAGTGCCTTTAAGCATAAGCTATGTGTTTCACCTTTATAACTTCTTAAGTGCAAAAACATTTAAGACAGTTCTTAGAAATATTTGTCAATAGTAAATTTACAGACTGCCTATTTAATAACCAACCCAACAAATCTGTGGACAACAGTATAAAATCATTTCACCATCCAGCAGAATGATGCCATACCATCCCCACCCATTCTAGTCTCAGCCTATAAAGTAACAAAAGTCTGTTTGTGTGTCAATATAGAACAAACTTTATGGATCACAACTTCTTTTTATTCGTGAGTGTGACGTTTCGATACAGATTCTTGTACCGTTGTCAAGCATAATGGAACATGAAGAAGGGGGGTTTTAGTGTATATATACTGGATGTAATGTCGCAATGTAACAAAGAAAACAACATGTAATTAACATAATTGGCATAGGCAGAAAGCTGAAGAAGCCAGAGAGTAGACAAAGGACAGGCGTGGAAGCCAATGATGTACAAATAATAATGAGATGTTTATACAGCAGAGTTTATACAGTAGATTGGGCTTGGTGGATGAGTGCATCATATGCGGATGGAATGAAGTATCCTTGGTCTCTGTTGATGGTGTCCTTTGTCTACTCTCTGGCTTCTTCAGCTTTCTGCCTAGCCAATTATGTTAATTATGTTGCTTTCTTTGTTACATTGTTACATCGAGTATATATACACTTCCCCTTCTTCATGTTCCATTATGCTTGACAACGGTACAAGAATCTGTATCGAAACACTGCACTCACGAATAAAAAGAAGTTGTTATCCATAAAGTTTGTTCTATATTGTACTTCCCAACTTCTAAATGCCACTCAAAGACGGTATGTTTCTGTGTCCTGTTTTCAGTGTATAGAAACATAAATAAAAACAAACACTGGATTGCCATGATTATTTATAGGTGCTATGTAAAGAGAAAATAGCCCCAAATGGGGGGAAATGGTACATTTATTAATTCTGATTTTGTGGTTTTTTATTCAGTCACAATAATTCAGGCAACAGTAATTAACATCACATTAAAGTATAAAACGAATGACTGAGTGAGTGAGTATAGTTTTGCACCGCCACCAGTTTCTGGGCTTTTTACATTTTACCCATAAGTGAGTGAGTGTGGTTTTATGCCGCTTTTAGCAACATCATGATGGGGGACACCAGAAATGGGCTTCACACATTGTGCCCATGTGGGGAATCGAACCTGGGCCTTCGGGGTGACGAGAGAACACTTTACCACTAGGCTACCCCACCGCCCCAGGAGAAGAAGAAAAAAAAGAGAAGAATGTAATCATATATAGTTTTGCTTGAGCAAAACTCATTTTTTTTGTGTTTCACGTATTACAGGTCTAAAAAGATACTACAAAGATCAATTTGTTGAGTTCCGATAATACAAACGTTGTTTTCAATCATATGATTCGAACCCCTGTTTCGGAATTTCTGCAACGGTGTCTCCATCAAAGCGAATGTCCCTTTAGTCAGATTTGTGGCAGCAAGAGTTGCTTCCCCTGGTAACTATACTGACGGATAGTTTATAAAGGAACCAATTCGTTTGGGATGACCAGCGAGGTTCGGCATTGTGTTTCCTAGTCGCGAAGTGAGTTACTGGCTTCACGTCTACAGGAAATATCGCTAGAAATAGAGCATAGGAGACGATAAATCGTGGACTGTCACAGAAAATTACGGAAACTTGGATTTTTGGGAACAGGTGGTGTAGCCTGAGGGAAGGTTGGGTGTAAACAACCTGTGGTTGTTTAGTTCATAATAGTTGATCTCAGATCGGCGGGAACACTACTGGAGGGTTGACTTGTGCAATGGCAGACCAGGTGACAGCGGGACTTCACAACACAGGTAAGACACCAAATATAAGCCTGCTGATGTAGTCTTGAACAAGACGTTTGCCTATTCCTAAGGCCACTCGAAACTACGGTCACAAGAGTTGATCACAACTCAAGTTGTGAATGGTGTGTTGCTAGCGGTTCTACATGAGAGCCTACTAGTTCAATATATATACTTTGTTTATCTTTCTTGAATCTTCATCACGTTGTATCCCAGATACAAAGCCTCATTTGAAATTTCAAGATACTCTTTGAAAATTCACTACCCTTCACATTGATTAGACCATGAAATAATAATGATCATCATTAATATTAATAATAATTATTTTATAGCCTCTGCTGAAAATTCATGATTCTGTGTTGAAAATTGATAAGATAAAATTTCATGCTTTAACAATTAATTGCCTTTTTATTTTCAATTTCGTCTCAATTTCATATCTAGAATTTTCAATATGTTTTACAGGTCTAAATTCAATGTGTATTACAGGTCTAGATTAGCATTGTGTGTTTCATGTATTAAATCTATTTTAAAATATTAGCAATTAAATGCCTTAAAAATTCAAATTCAAATATTTAGGAAAGAAATACATACTACATATGACCAGATTTGACTTCAATAGTTCAGTGCTAAAACTTAATTTTTTTTGTGGTTAGCATGACTAATGATGATCTCCCTGCAATATTCAGTGTATCTTTATCACAGTTTTCTTGTTGGTTTGTCTCATCTGACAAACACCCCTCCAAGAAATGTCACATATCAACTTTCTAATCAGCTAGTCAGTGTGGAGGCTGCTCCAGCCTCAAGCATCCGACATCTTCAACATGAAAGTTCAGAGTAGAAATTGTAATTTTCAAAATAACACCATGTTATTTTTCTGATTGCCATTCCATCTCCATCTCCACTGGCTTCTGATAAGACTGATATTTCATGATGAGAGTATTATAGGGAAATTGAATTTGACAACAGACTGTCCATCATATTAAGAATATTTAGCGAAGTAGTTATAGGCTACAAAATGCATGTCTTTTATTTTGATTGGTCAGTGACGATTGCGCCTTGTGGAAGGTCTCTCTTCACACAGAGACGCATTTAATCTGAGTATAAGATCTGATTTTTGATGAAATTGAGAGACTGCATTACTAATTCACTAATTGTGTTGTTTTTCTTGTTGTTTGTGCCACACTCAGCATTCCATCTATAGGCTATGGTAGTCTGCTGTAATCACATTTGGAACCGACTGTCTACAAATTAGTTATTGTGGAATTAGCAGGGGGGGGGTGAATGTCAGATGCCAGATTAAAAATAGCAAGGTCTTTGAATCAATAGTAAAGACTTTCCTCAGCTGTTCCCAGACATATGCCAAAATTCATCCAATGACACTGATACTGTCACACCAGCGAAGTGTCCTTCAACAATCTCTGATAATGTTCAGGCATTTATTGGAGACCTGGCACTTATCGTAAACATTCATCTAGCACCTTATCCCATACATGTTTATATGCATGAAACCCCCGGATTGCAGCTTCGACGATTACATAATATTCATCAACCCGTTGATGTCGCCAACATGGATGCCATATTTAAAACCATGAGTGAGGGAATAAAATTTTGAATGGATATGGACATCCAAGTAAAAACTGGGTATTTAGTTAAAGTTTCGAATATAGTAATGATTTTGAGGTAAGCCAGTTTGGAGTAAGTGGGGATAAGTAAATTATTGAAATATAAAAATAAGTAAATGATAATCAAAAACAATAGTAATGATACATTATCTTTGCTTTTATGCCTGCTTTTCTTTTTAATCTCACCTTATATAAGGATAATGAAACAAAATGTGAAGCATGTACATGTTATGTATGAAGATGAAGATGACCTGTAAATTGTTAATGGAACTTGACATCAACATGAATATCTTATCAATGTGTTCACGTGAATAGCTATGTCTTGTTTCGTTTCTGACTTTTTCAAGACAAACATAAACATGAAAACAAGGTTGGGGAAGAAATATCTTAGCTTGGCCATAATCTCCCACTTTTTATATAAGATCAAGGCCTAAGAGGGGAAAGTTTGTCCGAAAGTACTGTCAGAAATAGAAGAATTTTTTTTTTTTTCGCATTGATATCCACAATTTATGTAGTTAATATGTGTAAGTGTGAAATATCTAAACTATATTCGGCCTAACTACAGTCTCAGTGGTAGGGAGATAGGAAACGTAGAAAAAGAACTTTACTGAGGACAGATTAGTGCAGAAATGAGCACTGCATTTTTTTCCAAAGCGACTTATTTGGAACAGACCATGGCTTTATGCAAATTAGTGTGCGATGATATTATATTATAAAGGACAATTTTTAAATGTCCATTTTGAAATTAAACTTAACTTCATTAAAAACGATAGCTGACATAAAAATAATAACTTTTATAGTGAAACTATGAAGGATGTAGCTACTATGGAGTCTCACTGTCACTATAAAAAGAAACAGGAAGGGTCGTCTCAAAACCAAATCCAGGATGGGTGTCGCAGACGGTGGTTGGGGTCGGGCTGGGGGGATAGAGATATAATCTGAGATAAGATAATCCTTCAAGGGAATTAAACTGGGAAGCAAACGACATGTCATAACAATTTACAAATAATATCCAGTAGTGGTGTGACGATTCATCGATACGCATCGATGCATCGATCCATGGGCCTCCGATACAGTGAATCGATACAAAGTCTTACATGGTTGTATATCCCGATATGATACTTCAAATGAGCCACGATACATCAATGTTTAACTTTGAATATTGCCGAATCGCGATATCTGTCAAGAACAAATACTTACGTTTGTTTGAGGATTAAAATATATGCTTATTTATTTTCCCTTAATAAGTAAACGTTTTCTCGGAAATTCTTGCGTCAAGAACTGTGTCAGTCATAGCGCTCACATGTTATCAACATTCACACAGTCCGGGGGTATAAACTTATTATCTTGTTTCCAAATGAACATTGAACAACGAAATTTGACGAAATACTTTAAAACTGGTTTTGTTTTGATCTTCTTCGTTGTTTTATAGTTGGTGTTAGAATTTAGTATTGTGATACGTATCTTATCGCCACCCTTACATCAGGATTCGTATCGTATCGCAGCTTCAGTGCACGATACTTTGGCAATATATCGTCGTGACTAAAATTTTAGTATCGTGATATATCGTATTGCAGGTTGTATGCCAATACTAGCACTAATATCCAGTCCTGTCGATCTTCGGGTGGTCATGCCACCTATATATTTTTGAGACATTTAATGCGATGGCTGGTTTAAGCTTTTCCATGGGTATCATACTCTTTTACATATCTCAACATAAACGTTATGAAAGAAAGACTTGTTAGATATTAATCAATAGATGAGACATATTCAACACGCATGAAAAAGCATAAATTATCTTTGAGATGACCCCTTGTGCTTGTAGGCAGCATGTGCATTTCATGCCAGGTGAGTCGACGGTCCGTCGTCATACCTGGCTGAGCGACCAAATTGCCATCTATAGTCCAATCTATTGTTTTGAGCAGCTATTCATATTTTTTCTAAGTTTTGCCCGATCTTACAAGTAAACTAGTAAACATGCTTTTCTGGATATCCTATTACGCATCCCACTGAATGTCCAGTTGGGCCGATGTGGGTTACTTGACATGTGCTTTTTGTAAATTTGTCAGTTTTAGGGATACTGAGTAACAGCCTAAAAACAGTTTTTTTCTACTTTGACAGTACTTTAGGCTAAAGTTTCCACGGGGAAGGTTTGGCCAGGGGGAAAGTTTGGCCTGTTACACCAGGTTCGATTCCCCACATCAGAACATTGTGTGAAGCCCATTTCTGGTGTCCCCCGTCGTGATATTGCTGGAATATATGGAAACCAACTCAAATAGCCACTTAAGTCACTCATGAATACACATGGTCACTGTGCTCTGTACTGAATACTTTGTTTATATTTTGTCATGAAATGAGTGTTGTGTGTGACAATTGTGAGACAAAGCCCTTGTTTGTGTGTGAACCTGTTTGGGCTCTACCACTGCCACTGAAGCAAGCACTACCTTCAAAGTAGATTAACACAGAGTCCCTGAAGGTATATGGTGGTAATTCAGGTACAGACATGCATAGACCTTACAATTGACAAGGAGACCCAGTGAGATGGGGGATTCAGAGAGTAATAACATCTGCCTTCAACATGTTCAAGGATCATAGTCAATTAGAAATCACATTCCACTTTCATCAGATAAAGTGTTTAAGCTCATGAATATTTATTGTTCCTCATTCCAAGCTCAGTCCTCTCTGCATGCAGTCTAACCTGAATCTAGAATCTAGACTTGCTTCATTTAGGGCAGGGGCAGTAGGGTAGCCCAAAGGTTACAGTGTGGTTGTGCTGAAGACCAGGGTTTGGTTCCCCATATGGGTACAATGTGTGAAGCTGAAGCCCATCGTGATATTGCTGTAATATTGCTAAAAGTGCAGTAAAACTAAACTCACTAATTTACGGCTATAGCATTACAGTAAAGGTTGGGCAGATAAGGAAATAATTTAGTTGTGGGATTGCAACACAGACCATGTTACCATGGTTACAAGGGTGTGGTGCACGTTGACAAAAGAAAATTTGCAGTGAATGTGATGTAAGTTGTGCACACAGGGTCCAAGTGAAAAGGGCTGAATGACAAAAGGGCCCCAAAACGGAAAAGTCTAATGGGCCTCAAAGCCCTAGTCAAAAGGGCCGCATGACAAAAGGGCCCCAAAACAAAAATGTCAAAAGGGCCACAAGAAAGTCAAAAGGGCCGCAAACCCCTAGTCAAAAGGGCCGCATGACAAAAGGGCCCCAAAACAAAAATGTCAAAAGGGCCACAAGAAAGTCAAAAGGGACGCAAACCCCTAGTCAAAAGGGCCCCATATCAAAAAATAATATTAACATGTTTTTTTAAAGTGTATTATAGTAAAAGGTTATACATCTATACAATAGATACCTTATACATACTAGTTATGATTGTAATA